CATAATCTGCAAATTAAACACGACAGATATCTTTAAAACCCTAAGAAAGGCACACTGCGTAGGACAATAAATCTGTCAACAACAAATGCGTAAGGCAAACCCAAACGAGACCAATAATAAACTCTAGACACACAGAATAAACTAACACATTAATCTTTATAACCCTAACATAGTAAAAAAAGCATAATAACCAAACTCTACTGAATTTGTAAATATTAGATAACAGAATAATTGCGCTTGTCATTTGTTTAACTAATAAATAAATGCAATACTGAATTTTTGAATTTAAGAAAAAAAAGACAAAACTCTACCACAAAACGTGCTTGGGACAAAAATTACGCAAACTTGAACGGAAGACAGACTTACCCGACTACCATCACCAACATCCCCGGACCTGCTAATGGGCAAAACCCAAGGCAAAACCATTACCAAAAGGGTAAGAGTAGCCCAATTAAAATACTGGGCCCACGTCACTCGTAGGCAACGCAACAACATACTACAAGCCACCCTTAAACTAGACCTTACAGACAAAAAAGTCGGGAGACCATGCTTCACATTTCATGACACGTTAGCACAAAACATGCACTTCTCACAAATTAACAAGACCAGTTGGGAGCAACTAAGCAACAAAAATAAAATAAAAAAAAACAACTGACACACTTTACCAAGTGCAGGAACTATCTGACCAGGACACGGACAATGGCAATAACGAACAAGACGAAGACCTCGACTAGGAAACTACACCCCTGCAGCGAAATAACAACTCCCCAACTCCAAATAGTAATCCCAAATGTTTGGAATAATACTAATCGACTGGTCTAGGGGGATTCCGCGTCGTACTTTAAGTCGGCGTAATTGTCCCCCCAAAACCAACAAACGTCTATCCCTCCCGTCCCTCTTCCTCTATACCCTACTGGGCGTATAGCATCGGCTCGGCGAACCCGAGAATGGCTATTAAAACTATTCGCATGTCGCTCTCGAGCCCCAAATAGGGGACAGTACGGAACGCAATGGACATTCGCACCCAGCAAACACGGGTGAAACCGTGCAGTTGCTGGGGGCGAACAAAAATCGGCGTAAGTAAACATAGGCCTGTACGGGGTCCAGGAGTGATGAGGCAATGGGGCTGGTTATAGGTACGTCTCTTATACTCATACTCATAATAATACAATTTTTGTAACCATATTTTAATAAAAACCAAACTTTACGTCACAATTGGTATTTTTGGGATATTCTCGAAATCTTTCAAATATTTTTAAAAACGTAGATTTTTTTTTAACCCTTAAGCAGGCACGCGGGGTGTACAAAACACCCCAGCTTCCTAAATATAGCTACCGGTCTCACTTCGATTCGAATAAATGGCGCTTACTTTCAGTACCTTCCTGTCAAAGTATTCTCAGTCATATTACATTGCCGATTTTGAAGTTAATGTAATAGGTTGTCTGGTATTTTGTTTTAAACAGGCTCTGGGTGCTGTGGACACCCCGTGAGCAGGCTGGGTTTCGCCTCCCTATTGACTTTTTTTACCAAATCATAATTACTTGTAAAAGTAAACCTTATCTTAAGTGCTTAGTGTTTTTTTGTTTTTATTATTATTATGACTTTTAAAATTTGTTTTTTTTTAAATAAATGCTTTATTTGATTAAAATTGTCGTCTTTTGACATTTTCTTTTTTTTGTCATCTTTTATCAAATTTGAACGCAACGAAATATGTTCTCATTGTCTCTCAGCTCATCTTAACTTGATAACCTTAAAAAAAAATAAAAAAAAATGTAAATAACACTCAGGGACACTTTGCCATCAGGGATGTCTCTGACACCCTGCGCGACCTACTACGTTGCATAAAGAGGTGCGCCTGCATAAGGGTTAAGTATGGTCGAGGCAGTTAAAACAGTTAAAACAGTTCTTTTCAACTTAAATTAAGGTTGCCACTATATTTTACAAATTAACATACTTAAGACAAATAACTTGAAATTATCAAGATATTTTTAAGAAACAAATATTAAAGTTAGTAATTTGTAAAAAGTTTTTGTATAACTTTTAGCATTTATTATCAATCCCTTAACCTGCATATTTATACAATAAACAATCTATCGTGATATCACGAGATCTCATTTTCAAATTATTATAATAAACCTATAGGCAAGGCTATATATAGGTAATAAAACATATTTATTAAAACAAAAACATATGAATCAATTAATAAAATTAAACTTACATCAAAATTATCATGTGTGCAAACTAAACTTTTAACTCTATTCATTTTTGTTTATAACATACGCATCAACAGTTGGATGAAACTAAACTAATTTGGAACACAATGTATGACTGATTAGCTGATAAGATAATTTATCCATAAAAATCGTACATAAACTAATCAAACAATAATCAGACACTTGTTCGAGCCCTTTAATTTGAAATAATGGTTAAACGTCATTGAGTAGTAGTACTGTAGTAAACAAATAGTATGAGTAACAATTTATTTAAAAAATATTCAAATGTTTTTATCATGGTTTATCTATGGTTTCTACTAAGTCAATAAACCATTAAAAGATGACAGCTAAATTAAAATCTCCAAATATTTCCCTAGTTTTTTTTATAGAATATATAGTGTAATAAACAAAACGTCTTGATCTTTGAGATAAACAATTGAACTTAACTGTACGTATTTATATAATCAAGATCTATTACCGAGTCTATTGCAGTCAGGATGCGGATATAAAGATATAAATGACCTTATTTTAGAATGAGATTTATTCCCAAGTAAATTTCAAGTGCAATTAGGTACTTGAGAATTTGGGAATTTAATTTGTGTTCGCAAAAACAAAAAAGTAAGTACCTAATTTAAAAAAAATGTTTTTTTTAAGCGTACCTACCTATAACAATTTTCATATTTAAAGACTTAACATTATACACCGCCGTACAATAATGAAAATGTCATTATTATTGTATGCAATTCTAAACGTGTTTCAGACTATACTTTTTTCTACGCTTATGAAAATTACTAACAAAAATATAAATAAATAAAAAGCAGGAGAACTAGACTACACACTTCTTGCTAGCAGCGACTCGAGGTTAACATAATTGACGGATGTATTTTCTAAAAGTTTCTGTCAGAAAAGAATTTTAAGAAAAGAAAACGAAATATTTTTACCGATCGGTCTTTGTTTTGGATATTTAAAGCATGAAGTTTTCTGAACTTTTTTGTCTATAAGGTATAATAGTAAGTCGTGGAAATTGCTTAGAAACAAAAGTTGTTGAGTTGTCACATTGTTCTTAATTGTCAGTACAATTTTTTTTTTTAAATATTGCAGATTATTTCCCTCAATATAATATGAACCAATCAAAAGCCTTGAATTTTCGAATAAATTTCGTTTAAATAAGCGATTAAATCACTAGACCTTTTTAACAGCGATTAAATTTTAGCCTCCATATTGAATTTTTGTTTACGATTTTATAGTGTTAGGTATTTACAAGTTTTAACAAACATTTTTTAAAAAACAATAAAAAATAAGTTATCTAGTTTACGAAATATCAATTATTACTTATTACAAACCTTAAATTAATGGAATTTTCTTTAAAAAAATATTTATAAATTTTGACACATACGTCAGATTTTATGAATTGTCAAATAGTTTCCTTTAAATCGAGAAATAATCTAGACGTATACCTATCACTCAACCTATAAATTTAGTCTGTCAAACTATGCTCAGTAAGTTTTTTATTTGATTTTTCTTTTTGGAAAATAGTTTCATGCAAAATAATTAAAAATAAAACCCCTCGACCGCTACGCGGTCTCGTGATTTTATTAAATTATTTTGCATTCAACATTTTCCAAGAAAAACCAAACAAAAAACTAATGAGCCTAGTTTAACCGATTAAATTCATAGTTCTCGTGATATAATATATGAGAAAAATCACACTAAAGAGCATTTACGAGACAGAATTCGTGGTTTTATGTTGCCATAACTTTTTGAACGTGAGTTGTAACTTACAACTTGTAAGTGATTGTAAGTAAAGATAAAATATGGCTTACTAGGTAATACCTAGGTAATACCGACCTACTTTTTGGTAATACCTACCTACTTTTTGGTAAAACGTAAAATTATATCTTTCAAAAGTTTGAACCTCGATATCTTCCCTCTTTGGCTTAGAATTTAATCTCAAACACAAATTTCCTAGAATTGTTTCATCAGCAACCTGTCTCTTCAGTGGACAACACAAAACAATTAAAAACATTAACAATTTAATGATGCCAAAAATTTCTCTTAAAATTAAAATATTTTAAATTTACGTTAAACGTGGTTAAGTAAAACAACGGAATGATATGACCAGGAATAAAATTTTAATAATAGATAACTGTTAAAAATTAAACAAATTAATTTATGAAAAGGGGTCACCTTAATGTGACTCACCCTTAATTAATTTTAAAGCAATTTTAAAATCAAACAATTATTAATAAACAAAGCAACATTATCAGCCCTACCCAGAAACCTATATAGGTAATTCATTTTCTTAGAACCAAATAGTAATGGATAGCTGAGGAATTTAGAGACCGTTTAAAAAAAACACTAGGTATTCAAATTTAATTGACTGACCTCTTAAAAACAGGTTGTGGGCAAAATTGACAAGTCTTTTACTTAAATGATTTGTGTTTTTGACAAATTTGTAGGTATTCACCCATTTAGAAATATTTTTTGGGGGATTTAATATAAAGTTTTCAGGGTTGCAATGACCCCTATATTTATAAACATTTAATGAATCAACAGGTACCTACTAAAAATCAGATAAGTAAAACAAATAATTTTAAAAGCCTATTTCGAGAAGTCAAGCTGTTATAAAATTATTAATAACCTGTTTTCGTTTTGAAATTTCTTTTGCTCGTACACGTAAATATACCTTTTAAATAGCCTTAAATTAAACACATAAAGGCAAAATTAATATGTTTACATAAATATTTGTTTACACGAGAATCTGAGTATAAATTAAAATCGTCTTACCTGGTAATGGGAATCCTGACATTGGTAATAAGGGTCGGCCATCTTGATTTGAAATCAACACTTAACAATAAATCCGTGTTTATAAAGTAAACTGAGTCAACACAACTTGCATATAACGACCATAATAAAGGCAAAATCTAATTAAAACACCCGAAAACCATAACTTTGGTCTCGATCCAATAAATTAACGAATTCGTTCACGATTTTTCCACATATTGCGTTACAGCGCGCACTGCCTTGCCGGCGCAACACGACTAAATTAATTTCATTGGCTGGAATCGAAAGATCAAAATACGTTCAAGGGACAACAGGTGCTTGGGGATTTTAAATGAGTGGGAAAAAGATGCACGATCGCAGCTTCCACCAGACATCGTGTTTTAATTCGCAGTTTGAATTCTGATCACTAATATGAAGACGTGAAATAATTAGCAAATGCTACCCAGTTAAAATTATCTCTGGTTAAAATCTTACCACTGTATCAAAGTGAAATTACAACGATTTTGTTAAAAAAAAGTCAAAATTGTCAAACAAGTTTTCTTTATTTATTTGGAAACAGTGTTGCCAACAAGGAGGAAATTTTTTGTTTTTACCAGAATTTAATTTTTTTTGACACCCCCCAATTTTTGTTTATTGTTTAATATAAATTTATTTAGTTTGTTTTTACTCATACCTTTGACAAAAATGTATTTATCTACTCCTATTTTATGATATGAATATAAATTCTACGACAAATACTTATTATTATCTTAAAATGCATTTTATCATGATTTAAATCAAAAATTCACATACTCCCAGTATGTGAAAATTTTTTATAGAGCGCCATCTATGAAACAACAGGGAAAACTGTCAAATGTCACATTTTTACATTTTATAAACACAATTATAAAGGTTATAAATCGAAATGTATCTTGAAAATTGACAGTTTTTCACAGTGAAAGTAAAGGAAATGTTTTATGAGGACTTTACAGTAGAGTCCGTGCCCGAATTTAAGTTATTTAAGTTACTGCCGGCGAAATTAAAAGGTCAGTACAATGATCATATAAACTTTTAAAATATTGGCGTTGAGAAACTATAGTCGTTTTTTCGCGTAAATACTATGTAATACTACGGTTAAATAAGTCATGACGTCACAGTTAATTCATATAACCATGGTTAGGTTTCTAACATTTGACATTTGTTTACTTGTTCATAACCTAAAATTTTTGAAATGTGTTTTTACCTATTTATATTTAATTTCTATGCTTTTACCGGTGTAAATAAATTTCTTTGCCTCTTTTTATACCTAGTATATTCTTTTTCTATAGGTACTAGTTTTTTTAATACACGTTATCCAATTCTCCTACATGTTTAATACAAAATAAGGAAGAATATAAAAAAACCTGCATATAATTCCTCCACTTGTGGAGATTCACAATATGGAGCACCCTATCATTTATTTTTACTGACAACACCCCGTTTACCATTTTAATACAAAGTTTAAATTCGGTTTAAGAGCAATTGTACCTACTTAAAATATTTTAAATTTCAAATTTAAACAACTTCTTGACAGATTGAAACAGAGAAAAATATATATTAAAAAGAGAAAGACTATTAACCACGTTGAATAACTAGCTCAGCGATATAGTTTTATGGTCTGGTATTTGTGACGTCATAGTTAGGATTTTTGAACGCACTCTAAACGCAAAAATGCCTTAACTATTAACCACGGTTAAGTTTAATAACCATAGTATTTCATGGTATTTACGCGAAAAACTGCAGTATTTAATATTTTTGTTTTGAGATAATAAAATAATTATCACATTTAGTATTATTTTACAAGAAAGGCACTTTATTTTAACGATTGTATGACATTTGACAACTGTCAACTAACTTAAAACTAACTTCAGCCCGTGACTAAAAACCTGTTGCTAACTTCAGCCCGTGACTAAAGCGCCGTAAAGCCACAACTTGTCAATGTGTATTTAAAAGGTCACTTAGTGTCATGGAAACATGTACGATAAAGGGCATTTTAAAGGTGGGAGTAGAAAAAAGTACCTATGGTATTAGACTCGATCGAGATTATGCGCATTATTCACTCAGATGATTTAAGAATTCGTCTGGCGACTCGAGACGCTAACCTCATCCTCGTGAATATATATTTATTATAAGAGCCTGCATTATCTCGAGATCTCGTATAATACTATTTTTTAAACATTTTCTTTTTAATTTTTGGCCCCAAATTTCCAACCAAGTCACAACCAAAGATATTATCTTGGACATTCTAGGCACTAAAGGTTGCTGCCCCCTGCTTAAAATACCCCATAGAGACCCTGTTCAAACTGACAGATATTTGTATCAGAATGTATACATATATATAGGACCCATAGTTGGGATTTATGGTTGTTCTATAGGGATTTACTTGCTATTGGTTTCAATGGGAAAAAAACACATAAATATAGAAATTAGTTTTTCCCCCATAGGTTTTAATAAAATTTTGTCAAATGTGTATGGTTGTTCTATAGGGATATCCCTATATATCCTTCAGTGAGTTATTTGCTATCGGTCTCAATAGGGAATCAATATGTGCATTTGTCCCTGTTTTTTTTTCCGGATACGGCCCGATAGAAAATTTATAGGAAATTACCTATAGGCACACCATAACTTCGAAGTTATGGTGTGCCTATAGGTAATTTCCTATAAATTTTCTATCGGGCCGTATCCGGAAAAAAAAAACAGGGACAAATGCACATATTGATTCCGGTAGCGCCCGATAGATTATTTTATATATGTAGGTCCCTATGGGGTATTTTAAGCAGGGCCTTCTATAATATATAGTTATTATTAATAATTAATAATATAACTATAGTTATTATAAATATATTTTTTTTAGCTTAACCTATTGTTAACTATTGTTTTAAAGTGGTCAATTTGGAATGATATACTCCTAAATTTTTGGCCAATTAAAAATGAATGAATGAAAACCGCGAGAAAAACATTGCCATTTTAAAAAAATAATAAAAATAGTTTTTTTTAATATTTATTAAAAGCTATAATACAAAATTAAAAATACTTAACAATATATACATTATTTATCATTAATTAAAGTAGATAGTTCTTCTGGAGAAATATTTAGAATATCTTGAGGATTTTCATACTGGCTTTCAGGATTGTAAACACTTTCATAAAGTTGTTTATAAATCGCCAAAAGTACTTCAAATGATCGTTTTTGAACTGCTTTTTTATGTTTTGAAGAGGATAGTAGATTTATTTGAGGCAACAAAGCTGAATCTGGGTTTGCTATCAGATCATTCAGTTTGGTCTAAAAAATAAAATACATACAGAACAAATTAAATAATTTAAGTTTGTTTAAAATTACCAATATCTTCTTTAAATTGCTAGGCTCCATTCCAGGCACAAATGATAAAGGTCCTTGGCTATGATCTTGCAAAATGGTATAGATTGGACCCAGGCTTAAATTTGCTACTAAAGAACTGGCTTGTTCTGATGTCAAGGTGTCAATTTGGGCATCTGATTGGGCTTGCAGACGTTCCAAACGATCGTCCATGAATTCATAGAGCGATAGACAAGTATACATTGCATACATGCAGTTTAACATATAAACTGCCATATCTGTAGTTGGTAAACGAGAGGCTTGTTCATTCACTGCTCTTAGGACTGGTTCCATAATGCATTGAGCAATCTGGAATCAAACAATGTTGGGTACATATTATGATTAGTCGAGACCAGTCATATGTCAAAAATCTTGGACTAGTAGTCTATGTACATATATAAGTTAGTTTGACAGATGGAAGAAACAAATAAAGACTAACTTTAATCATATCAACTTCTCTTCCTTCGCTCATACTGGCAGTGGAAAGCATATCTCTTAAAATGGATAATAAAAGGTTTATTGCTGGTGTGGGGGATAAATCTCTTGGTGGAGCCTCCACTTTTATTAACATGTTATTTACTTGCTGTTGAAGGGATGTTAAAAATGCACTCTCACTTTTTTTCTGGAGTTCTTCAAGGGTCTCTTCTAGGAGCCCCCCCTTGACAATCTAAAAATGTTTTTGTTATTAAATTATTTTATTGGATTAATAATATTGATATTGTACCCTAAATATGCATTTTTTGTAATATCTCAACAAATTTGTGACTGAATATAATATTGAGGCCTGTGTAGGAACATTTAAAATCTTTTCTATTCTTAGTTTTAATGGTTGGCAGACTCCTTCGCATATATTTACTAGCGTACTGGCCAGTTTATCAGTAAAGTCTAAAAAATAAATATAAATTAATTATTAAAATTTAATACACATTACACAATAAACATAATTAAAGATGTTATATAATAAGAACCTGTGTTTTTTTGTTCCTTTTCGGAGTTTTTACAGTTTTTTTACATTTTGTTTTTTAAAAATCGGTATGCCTATTTTTAACGTTTTTTGTTATTAAAACATACTTTTTTTATTAATCCAATCAAGCAAAAATTAAAATTGTTCCAAATAAAATGTGCGAGTATTTAGTCAAAAACTCGCGCATTTATTTCACGAAAATTTTGAAATATTTTAATGAAAATACAAATAGAGAATTTTTTCGAAAAAATTACAATATGTCAATTTTTTAGTATTTGCTGCATCATCTTTAATTCTTTGAGAACCGCTCCTCTGATTTTGATGTTTTTTTAATCGCTTTGGCTCCCGTCCCGAGGCGGGACTTAAGTTCAGTCCCGATTGACGTCATAATTTTAAGATTTGTTATGTTACAATTAGAGATGCGGCTTGAAAAAAAACGGTCCGGTTTTTTTATTTTTTTTTCAGGTTTTTTTTCATTGTTTTTTCAAATGGTTTTTTTTTCAAGATTAGTCCCATTTGCCCAATTTTTTAGGTTTCATGGACTAAAATTAGCCACTAAATGACAATTAGTAAATGTAAATACAGTCTCGCGCTATGCACTTGCCACCATGGTGCACCACTGAATTGACCAATAAGGGCCGCGCTTGTTTTGATTTGGTCCTAAAAAAAGTAACTACATATAATATTTTTGATTCAGCGCTTGATTTTTCAAAAAGCTACCAAAAGTACTTTTTTCATGATTTTTTAAATTCATGTAGAGTATGGAATTTTTTTTTCCAAAAAAACAATAGCAAATTCTTGTAGAACATTTATTCATTGGTGGTAAAGTCAGAACATTCCGTGGACCAGAAAGCCAAAAAAAATCGATTTTTTTTATTACGGTATTTGTTAGGATTAAGCGTTGCACATTTTTCATATAAAAATCTCAAAACTAGAAACTTCAAGCTTCAAATTGCTTTTTTTACGGCTCCAATACGACCATTTTTAACAAAGATACAGGTATCCGAAGAATCGTAAAACAATTTTTTTATGCTTTAATTTTTTGTATTGGTGTAGTTTTACATTGCTACTGGTTTCTAATGTGGAAACTACCAAATAATAAGAAATCAGATTTTTTAGTCTTGGTCAAAATTTTCAATAATGAAAAATTTAATATATTCTACATTTCACTTTATTATTAATATATATTTTACTCAAAATTTCATTTTGAAAAAAAAACAAAAAAAACAGTTTTTTTCTAGGTTTTTTTTCATGTTTTTTTCACATCTGAAAAAAAAACCGTTTTTTTACATCTCTATTTACAATAAAACTAAAACAAACCAACCAAACCAACCAACCCAACCCTACCCAACACAACCTAACACTTTTTAACAAAAAAACAATACAAATGTGCCTGGCACGTAGTGTTCATCGACCGCCCTACCATCTGAGCCATCCAGCTTGACACCAATTTTAAAAGCACGGGGAATAAAAACGGATTTACAGTGTGCGACGTCAGTCGGGATCGAAGTTAAGTCCCGCCTCGGGACGGGAGCCACATCGTTTTTTAATTGTAGGTTGACTCTTCAGTAGGGACGGCAACGATATTTATTTATATCGATATATTTAAGAATATATCAATATAAAGATATCGATATATAAATATTTTTCGATATATCAAAAAAGAAATCGATATATTTTTAAATATATCGGTATTTATTACTTCATTTTATCGGTTTTTTGTATTTATTTTTGGAATGTAAGCGTTTTTTTATAGGCAGCTTGTCTTTAAAACAGGGGCGTAGGCAGGGGGTTTTGGTTTTGAGATATTTTTAGAAATCCCAACAAGCTTATTATCTCTATAGTTTTATTTTACACTCATATTTTCCCAAAACCAGCCCAATTTTTTTTCTGCCTATAGGTATACACCTGTTTAAGAACCCCCAATTAGCAAATATAGTTCCCAGTCCTTTTTAAATGTCACTGCCCCTAAAGTATAGTTCCTAAACCCACCCTGCCACTTAAAATGTTACTCTATAAGGAATAGTCACTTTGAAGTAAATTTCGAGTCATGACTGGTTAGTGCCTACCTACCATAAAAGTGGAAAATAAACACACCGATTGCAAGTGGCAAACATGTAATTTAAAGAAGTGGCTGGAACTACCTGAATCTTCGAATATGACACCATAAAAGACCAAAAACTTTATAGTAACTTTTTAAAGTAGCGGTCACTAACAAGTGCTACCATAATGCCTCCATTAAGTTTTTGTTACTTTATAGTAAAAAGTTACGGGGTAGTCGCGGCCACGACACCTGCAGGTGTGGTGGGTACCTCTAATTTATAGTAACATTGAAAGTAACAAAATGGTTACTGCTACCTTCCTAGGTCACTATAAAGTAGCCGTCGCTTATCCTTTGCCACTAAAAAGTCGCGGGGATCAAAAATAGCTACTTAATAGTGACCATAACTTAATATACCCTAATAAATGTAATTGCCTCAGATTGCATATATGCATATATGTTAAGCACTATAGTGTGCTGCTCTGTTTTGGTGTTTTCTTTTAAGCTTTATTAAAATTCTGTAAAATGCCTAAGGTAAATAAAAAGAAATTTAGATATTCTAGTACTTTCTATCAAAGAATTAAACAAAAGGAATCACTGCGAGCCGAAGCATCAACATCAGAAACAAAAACTACATCTTTCTATAATCCTACTGATGAAAATCATAAATCAAGTAGTGACATATTTGAAGCTGTTTGAAGTACCTATTCACAGTCAAAGTTGATGCATGTTCTGATTTCTATACCTGAGTCAAGTGTTCAAATCTCGTTCTGATATTATTTATAATTAATAGTCTTTAAATATTTTGTGATGAATAGGAATAAATTCCTATATAAGAAATTCAAGGTGCTAAATATTTTTAATGGGTCAAGTTTAACAATACTTCCCTGAAGTATTTGCTGTGAAAGTTGATGTATGTTCTGATTTCTACACCTGAGCCAAGCGTTCAAATCTTGGGCTGATGAATATTATTCATTCTGCCTTACTTGTAGGTATTTGGGCTATGTAAAAATGAATATTGTATGCTCTCTACTTAAGTTGTGGATTCAAATTCGAAGATTAAGGGGAAGAGAACGTTTTAAGATAGATAGTAATTAATAAACATAGATAAAACGACACGAGACGGAAGTGACGTCATATACGGTGTGGGCCCTGTTTTTGTATAATAAATTTGTTGAAAATATTGTGATACTACAAAGATTTATAAAGATTTATTAATTTTTAAACATAACATATAAATATGATTTCTTTCGTTGACTATACTGAAATACCTTAAATGTCAAATGAGTCGAGGATTCAAATTCAAAGATTAAGTGGAAGAGAACGTTTCAAGATTTAAGAGAGTAATTAATAAACCTAGAAAAAACGACACGAGACGGAAGTGACGTCATTGTTTCCATAAAGTCGTCTTTGGGTAGTTGCAATTGTCACTTTATCAATCCGAAGATTTTAAAGTTCCAAACGGGTAGAGTTTGCCTAATATATTATTGCTCCCGGTACTTTGTGGAAGCATATGGAACTATAAAGTATTTTTCGGATTAAACGGCCATATTTTTTTCATGACTTTTCGGACGAACAGCCAAATGGCTCAAACATTTTGCGTTTTTAAGCTAAATATACCTAAACTAAAGATTTTTTCCTTAGATATTTTGTTATTTGTGACGGTGGACTAATATTTTAAAGTTTCACGCCAGTTTCAAGCAAATTATTTTTTTAATAACTACATGAGTTTCTATTGCAAATAATATAATAATTTAAAATGTTTTGAAAGGCGCTCGAAAATTTTGTCATATAAACCCACTATTTTATCCAATAAAGTCGATTGCGTTTTGGAATTGACCCACAAAAGGCGTTAAAATCGCATGGTAAATAACAAAAAAATAATAATGGCTTCCATAATTACTTTCCATCAAGACATTTATTTTTATGAAGTGTGAAATTGAAGAGGTCGCTGCGAATAAAGTTTAACAGTTTAATGAAAGTTCTACATGTCGGTGGAAAACACTTGGCTGCCACGAACCCGCGACTAGGCAGCTTCGTAACAGATAAGTCGCATTCAACGGTACGCTACTTTATAGTGCCACATCGTAGTAACTCTTTTAGTGGCAAAAACTACCCAAGACACTACCCGGCTACTCAAAATCTTTCCCCATTTTGGTCGCAGTTACTTAGCAGCTACGAATATACAACGTAGCCGCCGAGGGTCACCGCCCCCTTTGTAGTGGCTTTGATAGTAGCAGTTACGTATCTGCCACCATAAATGCTAGTGTGGCCTGAATTTAAAACAAAGCGCCGATTAAAAATTTTAATAAAAATAAACCTTTTCTGTTAATAGCCTTAAAATATGTGATATACCTATAATAATAATTCGAATAATTATAATTATTATGTTTTTTTGGTATATTTGTAATAAATTAAGGTTTACATTTACATTTTTTTTAAACCTAAAATTTTGTATTAAAACCTAAACATTTTTTATATCAAAAACAAAGCCTCAAATCAAAAAAAGTTATTCTACAAAAAGTGATTAAATTTTACCACTACCCAAAAAAACCTATACCTACATATATCGATATATTCCTTCCAATATATACTGCTCAAAATTAAAGTGGATATTAGAAGTATTTTTAAATTGTCAGCGTAAATAATTAAAATAAAAATTTCAAGTAAATTTCTTGAAAAAATTGTTGTTTTTGGAAAACTAGATATTTTATAAAATAAATTTGTTTTTAAATATATATAAATAATATTATTTTTACCTGTAGTGTTACATTTTTTAACAAGCAAGCAAATATTCTGTTTCTCAACTGGAATTACTTTACTCAACCAAACCAACATATCTGTTACATAAATTTGTGGGTCATGGGCTCTAAGTTCAATGGGAGCTGGATTTCCTGAAGGTCCACCTCTCGTTAAGGCATTAATAAACTCAGAAACTAATACACCCCTTCTTGCCACACAATATTCATCCAAAACATAACTAAAAAAAAGATAAATTTAACAAACTATCCAAACCAAACATGAATCACATTACTTAAGTAATAATGGTCTATTTTGTAACCTATTCATTGCTTTAGCTATTGTTTCTGTTATGTCAGGATTATCAACGCTTCTGCTATGATTTAAAGTCCACCTATAAAGTCTTTCCACTGCCCCTTCCTAAAAATTTAAGATTCTAATAAAACAATTAACAATTTTAATAAATAATTTACTTGATGCAGGGTCATTTGTTCCATAATATCCACTGCTAAAGATTGCAAGCCAGACTGCATTAGGAGTTTACAATTATTATGAATAGTCTGCACATTATCCAAAGCAGTAAATATGTCATTTGTTAAATAAATATCCCTTTTATTTTTATTTCCATGTAAAGCTATTAAATCATCAGGACTCAATTGAAACTTCTTTAGAAATGCTGCTGAAACTTTTTGTTGTATTTCATTTTTATCTCTACAATTGAAAAATTAGGTATAACAAATACAAAAATTATGACAATAAATTACCGTTCTTCTTGTAAGCTTTTGGTCTGTTCTAAGAGCTGTTTAGTTTGTGTTTTAGAATTTTGCAATCTGCACATCATATCCTGCACAGATGAATTCATGGATGCAATTTCATTGTAAAGCATGTCAAATGAAACTTTAACTTCATGAAAAGATGTCAACACCAACTTATTTATCTCTAAACTCCTCTTTTCAACCTGGCTACGCAAATTACGACGTGCCTGTATTGTGTTTTCTGTATAAAAAGTCGAAAGCTGTTTTAGAGCCTCCATAGTGTCCTAAAATTATAAAAATATATTTTTATTGTTTACCTACGTATGATTTTAAAAAGTTACTTCATCATTTTGAAATCTGGTTTCTAATATTTTATTCAGTCTTTTGGATAGAACATGGTCCTTTACTGGTGGCTCCGGCATTTTTTTTGCTGTTAATGACTTCGTATTTTTCTCAAATTTTATACGTTTGACGTTTAAACGTCAAAACACGTACAATGTTGCCAAAGTACAAAATTTATTTGTATTGTTTAGCATAATCGTTGAGTCAATCTTAAGTCAATGTCATAATATTGTAAATTTCATACTGAAAAACTAACAGTTATTAAATAAAAACCCTCTAAATACAATAATTTTAACGAATTAAAAAATATTTGCTTATTTACTTGGTAATGAAAAAGTATGGCAACACTGCGCATCCATGCCGAACATAACCTAAGTTATTGAAAAATCGAATTCCACGTTGCCGTACCTTCCAACTTTTTTTACAAAAATAATTATTTGCGTTGCCAATATTTAAATGAGATTTTAAAACGTGTAAAATATTGATATATATGTAATTTTTTGTAAATTTTATTAAAGATTTTGATCGTTGTAGCGTTAATTTTAGTATATATTGTTGATTAGACATTTGTCAACAGTGTCGATTGTGTTTAATGGCGGTGTTTGCGTGAAGTGTATAAATTTTCGTGGATGTTTTTGGACGAATACCTCCAATAAAAATACCATTGTTAAAAAGTTGTGACGATGGATCAGAAAGTGAAACTTTGGGACAGAGATTCTAGCCAATCTATGAATCTTCGTCAGCCAAACAAGCCATCAGAATCGAAAAAAAACACCGTCAAAGTTGAGGACTCTGTGATTGTAAATTCAAAATTGTCTGTGGATGCGGCTGAGTTTTATCCGAATAGCCACCCGGCACCTTCAAATAACGTTTCCAGCATACAGAGTAGACTGAACAAACACAAAAAGCAGCCAGAGTCTGCCATAGATCATATAGGTGTGGAGTCTGCTGCACATCAGCACCAGAATAATGACGAAGATTCCCCGGATATGTTGCGGTTAAAACACATAGTTAAAACCCTAACAAATGATCCTGGACAGTTTGATCATTTATTTGATATATTCATGGAAACTTTAATGCCATACCTACAAGATGCTATATTCTTAACTGATTGTGCCAGGCTTTTGGTTAATCAGGTAGAACATTACATTATTTTATCAAATAGCCTTTTAAGTTTTTATTTTTTTTTAGGCCATCAATTATCCAAACTTTAGATACACTGGTGCACGTCTGTCTTATCACATAGAAGGTACTTCACCCGAGTTTAGAGCCGCTCTACACCTGTTGTGTAAAAAAGAATTGGACTCCAATGCAAATAAACAAAATATTTTACTGTTTGTGGCAGAGTTGTACATACAACTGCACCATTTAAATATATATGGCATTTTGCTGATTGAAGCTTTTAAAATGTTAGTTTCTAAAGGAGGAAATGATAATATTAAATGTGTTTGCCAAGCTTTAAAGGTAAGCAATTATATGGAATTAATTTTATTTTCATCATTAATGTTTTTAGCTCACAGGATTTTCTCTTGATAAGTATGACAAAAAAGCAATAGATGAAATATTTGGACAATTACAACATGTCAAATCCACTGTTGATGGTTCCGCTTTAATGCTTTTAAACTCTGTTTTTAATTTAAGAAATGCTAACTGGGGACACTCTAATCAAAGTGAATCCAGTAATAGTCCTGTAGAAGAAGAAGCCTATTATGTAGAGCCCCAAAATGCACATTTCTATAATCTGGATGGACAAGAATTTACTAGTGAAGAGAGTGAATTTTTAGCAGCTCATTTGAACTGTAATGATGAATATTTAACGTAAGTTCTTTTATACATAATTAAATAATGATTACACTCGATGACAACCATTTTGCCACAGGGTGGTTTTCAACTTTTCTAGGGTAATTTGAGCATGCTGATTAGAGATGTAAAAAAAAAGTTTTTTTTTTTAAACATGAAAAAAAAACCTAGATAAAACGGTTTTTTTCGTTTTTTTTTCAAATGCACTACAATAAAGCATATTATGTCAATAATTACATCAATCGAAAAAAATGGAGTATTTTTTCAATGTGAAATTTTGAGCAAAATGTATAATAAAATAAAATAAGGTGTATACTGCAAAAGCAGCCTAACTGAAAAAAAATCATTTTGTGGTTTTATCTTTAAATATTCATATTATCGAGTAAACTAGCATATAAAGTGTTTTAATAAGAAGAGTAGTTACAACTATATTAAAATAATTTAGGCTAGGTGACTCGATAAGCGAATAATTAGGCCGCTTTTGCAGTATAAATTTAAAATATATTACATTTTCCATTATTGAAAATTTTTAATAAGACTAAAAAATTTTATTTCTTATTATTTGGTGGTTTACACATAATAGGTAGGGTTGGGAAAATTTCACTTTTTGCTTGTACTTGAAATTTCACTTGAAATTTTCACGACATTTATGAAATTTATTAAAGTTTCCTAAATGTCTAAAATTTCATGAAATTTATGAAATTTATTGAAACTTTCAATAAATTTCAATCACTTTAAGTGTAATATATTTATATTGAAATAAGCCCACTCAGTGACCATGGCAAATTGCCTCTCTTACCCTCTGTGGGCCACTGCACCAATAATATAAATATGTTTACCACAGATTTCCTTTTAAAATATTTTTAAAATTACTAAAACTAAGAGATATTGCACTTTTTGGTAAGCTAATGAGATTGTGCCACTTTTATTGTTTTATATTTATATATATTTATTATTTTTATATATTTTACTAAAACTTCATCAAAATTTTATGAGCCAAAGGCATTTTGTATCCGTTTTCCGATGCAGCAATTATAGCAAAAGTAAAAGTTTAAATTAATCATGACTTGTCTGATTTAATTTACAAATTAAATTGGTAATTGAATTAAATTATTTAAATTAATTTATGCATATAAGTAACAATAATTACTTATAGTGTATTCAAATCCAAGCCGAATTAAACAAACACGCCCAGACGCTTGATAACTCGTTCTTATTGGTCAATTCGGAATCTGTTGTAAATTATTATTAAAGGTCCCAGGGGAGGCCGCATGTGAAATTTCATTTGAAATTTTTAAAAATTTAACTTTTCCAACTAAATTAAATATTTCAAGTTTGAAACTTTCAAAGTTGAAATTTTCATTTGAAAATTTCAACTGTCCCAACCGAGGGGTCAACCACTAGCCAGATATTTGTACACGTATTGCCGAACTGCCTATACTGCCTATGCTGCTTATACTGCCTACTTACTGCCTAGTTACTTTCAACATTGCCTTTACTGCCCACACACTTTCCATAGTTTTACATATATGTATATTATGTCTCTCCTTGTGAATTATGAATGTATGTTTATCAAAAAAAAAAATATCCGAATTTTAAGAATTTAATTTATTGTTCCATTTTTTACATTTTAAAACCTTACAATATTTAATGTTATTATATATTCTAATTGTTTACAATACTTACCAAGCAACCACACACAGTTAAACTAATAAGCACAAACACACAAAAAGGTTTGCAAAATTAAAACTAAGATACCTCTAAACGAGCATCGCAAGATACCAGATTCTACTATTTGAATTAGTACCAGCATTTTTACTAATAAAATAGTCGTTTTCACTTTTAAATAGTTAATTTTTACTACGTAAATAGTTTGACTAATTTAAGATTAGTCACCATCTTTGACTATTTCTGAGAGTTAAAAGTAACTAATTTCTTTAATAGTTTGCGGCCAACAACAAAGTATTATTTTAATTAAATGCATACCTATAGGCTCCATGGTTAAATGGCCCATAAAATCAAACAAAGATGCAAAAAGTTTGGCTCAAAACAGCAACACAAATAATATATTATTATTTATAAGAGCGGCTAATAGCCACATTGGTTATGACAACAACTTGACAAGCTTGAGAAGTGAAAGACCTGAGTTCAATACGCGGCTGGGTCAAAACTTTTTTAAATTTAAATCTACTAATTTGACTATTTTATTCAGTAGAATTTGACTAATTATTAGTGACTGCTTTTTCGCTATGAAAATTTGTCAAATATAACTTATAATTAGTTATTTTTGACTAATTCATTTTAAGAGAGTATGTAAGGTGAGACTTAAATGCTGAATATTACCGAATTACTGCCGATACTGCCCATGTACTGCCGAAGTACTGCTCCCGTACTGCCTATATTGCCTATTTACAGCTGCATACTGCCGAAGTATTGCCGTCACTGCCTTTGTACTGCATAAAATTTGTGCACATATTGCCGACAGTGGTTGACCCCTCGGTCCCAACCCTAATTATAGGTAGTTACTTTTTTTAAAGACCAAATGTCATTTAGTGGCTTAATTGTCTATGAACTGGACTGAAAACATAAAAAATAGGAAAATGAAACTAATCTTGAAAAAAAACATAAAATGTGAAAAAAAACCTGAAAAAAACGGATCGGTTTTTTTTCAAGTCACAACTCTAGTGCTGATTTAAAAAATAACCACAATTTTGCTCAATAAGCCTTTGTTTTCAGGTTAATGTAAAAAACCGTTTTTTTTTTAACATGCAAACATTCAAATTCGTATATACAGTGTGACCCATTTGTTTGCGACTCACCCCTGTAAAATATTTATTTATTGTGCGATTTTAACCGGATTTGTTTTAAAGTGTAGATCTTGATAAACTGTATTTTTGGAGCAAAAGACGCCAAATTAGTACAAAATACTAGTGATGCAACGGTTCCGGGTTTTACGGTTACAATTAGCTCTACGGTTACGAATACATTCACGGTTATTCCAAAAAATTACAGAATTACGAAAAATAAAGTTTATTGTTCAAAATGAAATTAATACACACGTTCAGTAAAGGTTAAATAATAATTTATAACAAAAACAGAATTTCTAATAAAAAATATAAAACAAAAGGAAATGATCATTACTCGAGTAACATTTTAAACCTAAAAACAGTAAAGTATAACCTAAGTATGTACCTGAATAATATGTTTTAAAAAATAAAAAAGTTAATATTCAAAATTTAAGACAGTCAAATTTTTATTTAAAAAACATAACATCTGCAAATTCTGCGGATTCAGCCTGTTCCTATTTGGTGTTTGCACAAGACCTGCAGTCGAAAACAACCTCTCCAAATTCACTGACAATGGTTTGTATTATAAATACCTTAGTGTCAACACTCTCAAACGCCGAAACGTGTAACACGTTTTCCATAATAAAAACGGATTGGACGTATGTGGTATATTTGGTAACGTTAAATACTCTTCAATCTTCTTTTTACATGCATTCACAAAGTAACATGAAAAACCGTGAATGCCGTATACGGTTACGATTAACCGTATAATATCGAAAACCGCGAATTAACCGTAACCGTAACCGTTGCAACACTACAAAATACACCACCTACTATGTCAGTTTTTAAGAGTAAATTTTTAAGAATTCATATTAGCAATTTTTTGAAACAAAATCTAAGCAAGGCACTAAATTCACCACCCCTCAAAACGACCCTATACTAAATTTTATTAAAAAATTTTAAGAAAAAAAACAATAATAACTACAAAAATTTATTTTTTCAAGCTATCCATGAACAAAAAAATAAAATTGAACTTATAGTAATAGTTACTATATTTTATTTCAATGTTTTTTTCATGGATAACTTGACAAAATAAATTTTTGTAGTTATTATTGTGCAATTTTTTTCAATCAAATTTTGTTAGGGTCGTTTTGAGGGGTGGTGAATCCAGTGCTGTGCATAAATTTTATTGAAATCGGATAAAAATTGTTCGCGTAACAGCATTTTGAAAATTGTCGAATTTTTGCCAAAAATGTTTTTTAAGGGACTTTATATTATATGAATGTGTATAATTTTTTTTTTTTTAATTAGGACCCCTAGCTACATAACCAATGATCCTTGGTTGAAGTAATTGATTTTAAAAATATATAGTATACTAATTTGAATGTTTGCGTATAGAAAAAAACGTTTTTTTACAATATCTCGAAAACAAAGGTTAATTAAGCAAAAAGTTGGTTATTTTTGGAATCAGCGCACCCAAATTACCCCGGGAAAGTTGTTTCCGTTTCAAACAAAAAATTTCATTTTGTTGACCAGTGTTATTTATTAATAAAATTTGTTATTTTAGAGATACATCTGATCCTGATGAACTGTTTAATCCAGAGCCTGAAATGGATGAAGAAATTCAAGCTGCATTCAAAGAGTTTGTTAGATTAAGTAAGTGATAGTTATCAAGATTATAAATGTTTGTATATATTGTAAATTTCCATTAAGTAATATCAAGATCATTTTTATAAATTAAATAATTTGACTTTGATAATCTTCATTATTTATTAGTAGTTTTTCAAGAGTAGTTGTTGAATATTCTCAATCCAAAAATAGGTGTACTGGTTGTTCACTTTAAATGTTTCCATATTGACAAGTTGTTCTATGTAAAAGCCATTGTTAGTGGATTTTTTTTTATATGTTAACTGTTTAAATGTTTTTTATTGAATAAATTTTAGAATTAAATTATTTATTTGTTTTACTTACCTATAGGATATACTCAAATAAAATAAAATTTGGACTAAATGGAATTTATTTTTTTTTATAAAAGTTAATTTAAAACCTATAATATAATCTGCTAAACTTGTTGTGAAAGGACAAAGATATAATAGAATCTAAAAACTGGGATTACTTTTTTCTAGTTAACATTTAAAATTATTTTCAATTGTAAAAGTATTCCCATTTTTCAGTTTTAAGAATTAAAAAAAAATGTAGTGAAATTAAAAACATTTTGATTTTATCACCTACATACAGCATACAATTCTTCATTTAATGCTTACTTATTAATACATCAAAATTATCCTTAAGTTATTTGAAAACCTAAAAGTTATTTTGAAATGATGGTGCCAACAATCCTCTATAACAATTCAAGAATAGATATTTACATGAATTTTGGGGAAATACAAAAATATATCACTAAACACAAACTAATAGAAAATAATTTAACTGTACTCCATTTCCTCTACTTCTGCTTGCTCTGGGACAGCAGTGTAGGTTTTTCTCAGCTTTTCATAATGTTGCTTATCCTAAACAAAATTAACTTAGTTAAAACAGTTGTATTGCTTATTTAGAATCTACACAGACAAAAATGTTTGCTACGTTTCTAAAACAATTGTTGAGAAGGCTACAGCGTTTTGAAAAACACCAAGATCGTGACATCACGATACTGTTGGGCAATTGAAAAGTTTTTCCTGGTCCAGAAGTAACTTTAGCCAAGTCTCGCGACGTCACCCTAGGAGATTTTTAATAAAAAATTGATATCTTTAATAGTTTTTTCTCAATAATTTTTATATTGTCACACTCATAAAAAAGAACTCAGTGATGCAGTGAACCCTGAGCCGAGCGGTTGAGTTGGGGTACGATAAGCGCTCGTGCGTGCAGTGCCGTCGTCGCTAAAGTTCAAGTAAGGAATCAGTGTCGATTCTGCACGTGATAACGGATCCAAGTTCTAAAAGAAAGGAAATAATACTAAGTTTGAAAAGTGCGGGTGGCCCCGGTTAAGTCACAAAGTGCTGTAGCGTCGTGGAGGTTTGTGTGAGAGTGAGTGAATAAGGTTGGGTCACTCCGATGAGTTGCCTGACCGCTCCTGATCACCTGTATGGCAAGATACATACACCTTAAGATAGGATGGTGCCTCGGATGGTGCGCATGTTGGGCGGGGCTTAAATACGTCACTTGAGTGTTTTTGAATCTTTAACGTGTTTTTTAATTATCTGCTGCTAAAATTCTTGTTTTTGCGATGCTGTTGGATGTTAACTTGCTCTATTTTTTTGTTTTACTTGTTGTTTTTGCGTTCGGTAAGGTTCGAATTACTTTTTAGTGTTCAAATTATTGTTATTGCGTTGTGTTAATCTGTTCTGTTTGTTTATTATTGTTGTTGTGTTGCGTTAACTTGTTTTGTTTGTGTTTTAGTTTGTGTCGTGCCATTTGCATTTATTAAAATGCGGTGTGGCATTTTTGGATGCAATTCGGACAACCAGTCCAAGAAAAACCCTTTAAATAAACACATTAAATTTAATCGATTCCCTAAAAACTTTGAATTGTGCAAACAGTGGTTAAATTCCACAAAAATAATAGACAATATTAACGTTAAGACCGCTTCTGTTTCCAATAAACATTTTCTAGACAGTAACTATAAGTTTAATTTAAAACACCAACGCTTAAACCACAGCCCTAAATGTCATCAAGGACTGAAAGCATCTAATATCCATATTATAACACTTTCTTTAATGTATTCGCACGGCAACTACTCATCAAGTGACGTCATGCGCGGCACGAACCAAAACTCGTCCGCCGTAGCATCCAGCCCTGCCTGTATGGTCATCACAATCGGCAGGGCCAAGGAGCGCGGTCTGTCCGCTAGGGATAGGAAGGCAGAATCTAACTAGTTCAGCTAAGTAACTTTCTTAATTGCATGACCTAATAACAGTACCAATTCGATTCTGATATAATTTAATCGTTAAATGTTATACGCAAATTCGCAATGTTGCCAAAAATGTCATCTGGCTTCAGAAATCAAACAGGTCCCTACACTGAGAAAAGTAAACTATTTCAAGTTTTAGTTAAATGAACAGTTTTTGGTACATTCAATACGACCAATGCGCATAATTGTTTATTTAGTTTAGTTTTTGAATATACATTTTTAGTAAAAAAAATTTTACTACTATAAAAAAACGGGGTTTTCCCCAATTTTTCCGTTTTTTTTCGACACTTTAAAACCCTACTATGTACAAAACTGAAGCTTAGAATTAAACCCAACAAAAATGGTCGTAATAACAAAACGACATATTATGTAGCTTAGGTTTAAATTTCTACACATCACTTAACATGAGATGTCAAATAATATTTTAAACGTTTGGTGGCAAACTTATTGATGTTTTTGTGATAAAAATTAACTATTATGCATATATATTACATAAATAAATTCCTATGAAACTCGTAAAACTAATGATTTTTATCATAGCACATATAAAATCAGGTCAGTGAGAAGTATTTATGAATACCAAAGTAACATTTTTATAAATCAAATATATAACTCACACAGTTTTCCAAAGGACTCCATTTTTTACAGGTGTTTTCACATTGACAAAAAAACATAAAAGAACTCAAAAGAACAAAATTTAAATTTCTTATAAATATTGTAATATTCTTCTATGTTGAAACTAAAATATTATTTTACTGTAGCCCATGTAATGTGATATAAAACATAATATAATAATGTGATAATGTTTGTGATATATTTTAATTTATTATAGTTTGTAAATTATGATTATGTAGTAGAGGTGTCCCTAAGTACACGAATGAATACGATTTTTTTATTTATATATTATTAACTCCATTTTAGTATAAAAAAATAGATGTTCTTGGTAATATAATCAATAATAATATAAGGTATTATATTTTTACTCAATCATTCCAACTGGATTCGTATTTTCACTAAAATCTTTATAAATGTGAGTTTACTTATAAAAGATATTGGAGTTTGCTGTGTATGATATTAGACATGTCGCCGTTGAAAATACGTAAAGGCGTATCTAGTTTTTAGCAGTTTTTAAGGAGAGTAAACTATACTATTTTAAAAGTTACCTTTCTCTAAACCGCTCTGCTGTTGTTAATAACTAGATACGCCTTGAAGCATTTTCAACAGCGATGTTATGGTTAAAAAAGCATGGGGTCGGCGCATTTTTTTAAAGGTTTTATGGCGGCAGTTTGTTAAACAATTTTTGTATATATATTCTGTTTTAATTTTATGAAAGTTCTATTAAAGTAGGTGTTTTTAAACCAGTAAATTTGGCTTAAAATAATGCTTGTATTCATTGTTTCATAATAACATATTATGTATCTAGTTTGATAATAGTATATTAAAGAACTAATGTCATAAGACGTCATTTTGTCGCATGCGGACAATTTATAAAACGAGCGACGAAGGAGTGAGTTTTGTAATGGGCGAGTGCGACGAAAGGTCTTATGTCATGAGTTCTTTATGATATTTTATCTATTTTGCAAAAATTCTATAAAAAAATTAATTTTATACCCTAAATTTAATTTGGTCGAATTTTACTTTAGATGGTTGGTATCACAGCAATTGGTTTGACAGTTAATGTCAAAATCGATTCGCCGTGCCGTCCTTAATTTACTTATTTACAATAAGCGGCTGTTAATGTTCTTTGGTGCTAAACAAAATTTATTGCCCGAAAAGTCTTGTAAGTACTAGAAAAATCATAAAAATATTATAACCAATATGCAAAATATTATTTTACTAGTATGCTGTTAAAAGTATAGCCAAACTATAAAATCAAAATTTTGGGTGGGATAAAGTATCTCATTACAGCACCGAAAGTGGTGTTATAATGAAGTCATTATGAACGCAAAATAGATAAATGCCATTTTAGACACGAATTTAGATTAATGAGTGTCTATAAAAGTTCATAAACGAGTTGTATACTATACTTTTTTTTACGACAAATACTTATGATTAACTAATAGTATATTAAAGAACTAATGTCATAAGACGCGTCATTTTGTCGCACGAAGGAGCGAGTTTTATAATGGACGAGTGCGATAAAATGAGGTCTTATGACATTAGTTCTTTATGCTATTTTATCTATTTTGCAAAAATTCTATAAAAAAAATTAATTTTATACCTTCAATTTAATTTGGTCGAATTTTACTTTAAATAGTTGGCATCACAGTCATTGGTTTGACAGTTAATGTCAAACTTGATTCGCCATGGAATCCTTAATTTACTTATTTACAATAAGTGGCTGTTAATGTTAAAGAAGAAAAAAAGGATTTTCTTTGTTAAACAAAATTTATTGTCAGAAAAGTCTCGTAAGAGAAAAATCATAAAAATATTATAACCAATATGCAAAATATTATGCTGTTTTGAGTATATATACCTATAAAATCAAAATTTTGGGTGGGATAAAGTATCTCATTAAAGTGTTATAATGAAGTCATTGTGAAATCAAAATAGTTAAAAATGGTTTAAGTTAAGTATTTGTATAGAGCGCCATCTATAAAACAATACAGGAATCTGTTTTACCGTCAAAGAAGAAGGGCACTTTATTTTAACGATTCTATAACATATGACAACTGTCAACTAACTTAAAGCTAACTTCAGCCCGTGACTAAAAACTTATTGCTAGCTTCAGCCCCTTGACTAAAAACCTGTTGCTAGCTTCAGCCCGTGACTAAAATGCCGTAAAGCCACAACTTGTCAATGTGTATTTAAAAGGTCACTTAGTGTCATGGAAACATGTAAAATAATGGGCGTTTTAAAGGTGAAAGTAGAAACCATTATTTATTTTGAAAAAATATTTAAAGTAACTCTTTATTTATTAATCGCCGTGCGAGTACTTTAAGGAAATCAAAACATTTTAATAGTAAATATTAAAAATCCTAAATTGGTAAATTTAAGAAACTCTTTTTTTAGATAGGCATTTAACGATAAATATGCCATAGCGCCACTCGTGTCCATGCGAATAGTTTGAAAACTTTTAAAGCTACGATACATTCGAATGTCCAAACAAATTATATATAAAGGTTTTAGAAGGTTAGGATACTGATTTACTACTTATTACTTGTAATACAATAACTTACTTTTTCCGTGACAGACGGTCTAATCTTGGCGACTGCCCTTTTGAAATGCTCGGTAGATACGAGGGTCGTTTGTTCGCCATCGTTGCGTACCATAAAGTCCCTCAGCGCTTGCACGCCGGCTTCTCTGACCAAAGCGGCCAAATCTGCCCCAGTGTAACCTGCGCACATGTCGGAACTGCCTATAGCCGACAAGTCTACTTCGGAAGCCAACTGAGGCCTTGTACCATTCTAAAATAAAATTATTAAAGTTATACTTCTTTGGGCGCGTTAGCAAGCAACGGAAGTGACGACACAGAAAATCGATAATAGTGCGGACTCCTCGAGAACGTAAATCGAATTCGCTTGTGAAGAAATTACGTATGTTCTGTCAGAAATTAGTGGCTGTGCTTAAGTAGCAGAGAGAGAGAGAGAAATACATCAATACAATATGGCGGCCGCCGTAAGATGGATTGCCTATTTCTTCACAACCTCCTTGACTTAACATGTCAGCTGAACTTTTATATTAAAGGCCTTAATTAATCGTTTTTATTAAAACACAACAAAAATCTAAAAAATGTTTAAAATGTTAAATTTTTTATAAATTATGTAAATTTTGAAGATTTTCAAAATTTTATTTTCTTTTTGAGGATTTTCATAATTTTATAATAATAATCTTTATTTAGCAGGAGCTATTTTAAAAAATTAAAGGATCAAATAAAAAGTCCAAATTTCTTCGTTAAAAATGGTTGTATTGGAGCCGTAAAAAAGCAATTTAAAGCTTAAAGTTTCTTGTTTTGAGATTTTTAGATGCAAAAATGTTCAAAGCAACGTGCAACGCTAAATTCTAACGAATACCGTGATAAAAACAATTTCGAAATTTTTTTGGCTTTCTTTTTTGGTCTACGGACTGGGAAAAAATGTCTGACTTAACCACCATATGGACCTGATAACTTGTTCATTCAGCTTCTATTTGCATTTTTTTTAGACTTTGGTACAACTATTTTTCGCTGAGATATCGGACTTTGAATGGAAAAGGATCATTTCGTCTTTGACCATTGATATCTCAGCAACTAAAGATTGCACAGAAACTTAAATAAATGCTCTACAAGAATTTGCTATTTTTTTTGAGTTCCATACTCTACATGAATTTAAAATATCAATATACCAAAAAAAAACACTGAGTTTCAATTTAATCCATTCAGCAGTTTCTTTGTTTTATTCGATTGAATTTTTGAAAAAATTAAAGGATCATGCTTTTTGCTCTTAAATGCACATAATCTTTGAGAAAATGACTTTAGGAAATTTCAGAAAACATTTACCGCCGGCATTAGCGTTACCAAAGACCGATATCTCAGCGAAAAATGGTCGAATCAAAGTGTAAAAAAAAGCAAATTGAAGCTGAATGAACAAGTTATCCGGTCCATATGGTGGTTAAGTCAGAACATTTTTCCAAGTCCGTGGACCAAAAAAGAAAGCCAATAAAGTTTTTTCATTTAAAAATCTCAAAATTGCTTTTTTTACGGCTCCAGTACGACTATTTTTAAAGAAAAATCGCTAAAAATTTGGAATTTTTTTTATCCTTCAATTTTTTTCATTAGTGTATAAAAATATAAACAATTAATAAATATGACTGTATTTAATTCAGCAATAAAGACTTAAATCTATTTATATTTATAAGTTTTTACTCACGGTGGTCGATTAATTTTAACACAAGTTTTGCACCTCAATTTTTTTTACAATATAAACATATACCATTTTGCAGCTATTCTCAAAAAAAAATGAAAAATCCTAAATTGAGCATTTTTTTCAAAAAATCGATTTTTTTTCATTTAAAAAAAAAATAGTTTTATCGAAATTTCTAGATTACAAAACTATTAAAATATACCATTTTGTGCAATAATTAAAAAATAATTGTAAACACAGGCGAAGGCTGTTCGCTGAGATCTGAGCAAGGCACTTAATATGCTTTCTCCGCCGTTTTGATTATACTTAACTTTTTCAAGTGTTTAATAATTCTGTAATTATATTGAAATTATCAAGTTTACTATATTTTGTCATAGGTTTGACATTTGACATATGCTTAGATATCTGCACTGATTTCAAGCTAAATGCGATAGATGGAACAAATCTTTCAATGCATTTTCATTATTGTACGGCGGTGTATAATAATTTGACTTTTAAACTGCGTACTTTCCGAGGTACTTTCTATGTAGACTTATGAGTGTTATAATATGAAAATTGTTATATGCTTGAAAAAAAATAGAATATTGTTATGTCTCCTATAATAATATACTGTAATTCACAACCCATTGCAATGTTTTTTTTAATTATTGCACAAAATGGTATTCTAGATCTAGTAGTATTTGTAATCTAGAAATCTCGATAAAAACAATTTTTTTTACATAAAAATAGTGCTCAAGGTAGGATTTTACTTTTTTAAGAGTAGCTGCAAAATGGTATAGAAAAATGATGAAAAAAAAATTTTGAGGTGCAAAGACTTTTGGTATAAAATTAATCGAGGACCACCATGATGTGTATTAAGTGAATGGGTTTGATGAGAAGAAAACGGCAAGGGGAGATAAAATTATCAAAATCTACAAAAAAAAAATTCCAAAATCTCAAAAATTTTCAAAATATTATTAAAATTGTTTTGTCCTTTATTCCTGAATATTGCAGATAAGGCATTTTTGTCCAACAAAGCAGCTGCACTTGTATTTAAGATCTTTTTCAAACATACAAAAATAAATAACATCCGTGGAGAATTCACTAGGATTTCTACCTACTTTGATAATAAAATTCAATTGTTGTAAATAAAAACAAAAAAAAACAATTTTTTAGAGAAATCAAAATTGCAAATTAACCATAGACGATAAAAATGATGTGTCACATATTCGGGGGGTTTGAAATCAAGCAACAACTTTTATCAGGAATGAAATGTAAAATATTTTTTTTTCTTTTTTGTAACTCTGTAACATCTGTGGACATATTGTATACATGTATAATAAGGTGGTCCAAAAAGACCAACAATTTTTTTTGGGTTTCCTATGAAAATATCATGTTTTAGGAGCTCTTTCCAAAAATGGTAGGGGTTGCATACGAATTTTGAAAACTCCAAAAGTATTCAAAATTCGATTTTTTTTTAAATTTAATTTTTCTGTTCCCTACAGTAAATTTTTGTACATAAAAAATAAAAAAGTTTCTTAAAGTTTAAGCTTAAAATATTATTTTTTATTTTACTTTCAATTTATATTAAAACAAAAACAAAAAATTGATCGTGAAAAATTTCCAAAATTTATAGGCGTCCTTAAAAAATTCATATTTTGAAAAAAAAATTGATTTTTTTAGAATTTTCAAAATTCGTGAGCGTCCCCTAATTTTTTTTTTATTAAGCTGATTTTTGGAAAAAGCTCTTAAAATATGAACTAACAAATTTTCATAGGGTACTCGTTTTTTTGGGCCAAGCGTGTACAAACACCCTTAAATGTCCAATTTTTTATTGCACAGTTTTGTGTTTAACTCAACCTATGCCAGTTCACTTAAAAAGTTTGGAATCAATATGATTAGATGTTTCTTACCTTTGTTATAGCTCTGAGTATGTCTACTCGATCGAGAGCGGTTGGTAAACCAACGTATATAATTTTGTCCAATCTTCCAGGTCTCAAAACTGCGGGATCAACAATGTCTGGTCTGTTGCTAGCGGCCAATAGGAAAACGCCTTTTCTTCCTTCTACACCGTCCATTTCTGTTAGCATTTGGTTCACTACACGCATTGTTGGCCCACCCTGAGTTAAAAACAATGAGTTTATTCTTTTTATGATATCCAGCAAATATAGTGTTTTAAATTTTAAATTTTTAATTTACTTACATCTCTTGAATCGGTTCTTTTTGGTACTAGAGCATCCAATTCATCAAAGAAGATTACACATGGTGCCGAATTTCTTGCTCTTTCAAAACAAACACGCACAGCCCGTTCACTTTCTCCAACATACTATAAAGCAAAAAATATTTTAAAATGGCTGAAATAAAATATACGTTTAGTCTAAACGGTTTAGAAGTAAAAAATATGTAAAAATGTAAAAAATATGTAAAAATGGAATATTCGTCCAACAAATTTTGGGTATAGAAAACTAAAATATAGTTGTACAAAAAAAATTTTTGTAAAATAAGGGCTCCCTTAACGCACTCGTACTTCCATAGTGCCATCACCGCTAAAGTTGTTCAAAAAACAAAAACTAATAACGATTCTACACGTGATATACCAGATCCAAGTGCAAAAACAGTGCAAATTGCGTGTGGGACCTGGATAAAAGGTGTGAGTGAGACAATTAGTTTCAACGAATAATTTCCTGGACTACCACACGTGCTAAAGTGGTCGGTCGGGGTTAAGGAATAATTACTTTACATCCACCTGGCAATTCACCCGAAGTACAAGTCTACATAAATAAGATAAGTAAATATTACCAAAATTGCATGACCATATAATTCCCAAATAATAATACTAATTTTAATACAAAATCCGCAATCCTTAACTAACAAAGAATCCACCAGGTAAAATAATTAGTCGCAAACAGTTCAAATAAAAATCACACAAGTTCTGATAAACACTAAGCAAACGAAACTCATCCTAAAGAAATAAACATCTGTAGATTACTAAGGCATTAAGGGGACCATAAATTGGCTTACTCCTCAAACGTTCTAAGCGAAAATAAATAATCGCAACCGCACAGTGGGGTGCAAACATAAAAAAGATACTACCAAGAATAGTATTGTTTATATGCTCTCTTAAAATGAAGTAGTCAAAATTCTGCTATTTGAATTAGTACCAGCATTTTTTTTACTAATAAAATAGTCGTTTTACTCTAAATAGTTATTTTTTACTACTTAAATAGTTAAGGTTTGACTAATTTAAGATAAGTCACCATCTTTGACTATTTCCAAAAGTTAAAATTAACTAATTTCTTAAATCGTTTTTTAAATGGCCCGAAGATGCCAAAAATTTAGCTCAAAACAGCAACATAAAAAATATATTCAACTTTAAAATTATGAACAATATTTATTGAATTTGTCAATATTGATTTTTATACAAATGAATGATAGCGCATTTGTTATGACATTCGACAGACCAGAGTTCAAACCCTGGCTGGGTCAGAACTTTTTTAAATTTAAATCTACTAATTTGACTATTTTATTCAGTATAATTTGACTAATTATTAGTGAATGCTTTTTCGCTATGACAATTGGTCAAATATGACTTCTAATTGGTTATTTTTGACTGATTCATTTTAAGAGAGCGGGTGCACAGACCAACAGGAAGTTAAAACAAGGAGAAAACTGCACACAAAAAATAATTCTGTAATTTAAAAGTATTGATTGTTTTGGATTTGTTTATTTGAAATAAGTTTAGTCTAATTTTTATATTATGAAATATTAAATAATAATTTTGTTAAGTTTAATTTTATACAAAAAATTAGTTTAATTTATCTATTACTATTAAGAATAATTACTTCAATTAAATTTTTTTGTATTTTAATTTAGAAATTATACTCTTTTAGATATTAAGGTTTACTTAACATAAATTAATATATTTATTTAAAAAAGAAATAAAAAAAAACAATAGATTTTATTTAAAAATAAACACAAGTAAACTTATATTTGAAAAAAGAACCCTCTGTACATTGAAAAGCAGTAACTTTTGAAAAAAGTCTAGTACCTCAAAAAATCGTCCATTAGGTTATGTTTGATTACCGTTTGGGATCGATTACTTTTAAAATTAGGCTATAATAAAAAAAAACAAAAAAGTGATTTTGAAAGCAACGCTCAACTTTGCACACTGCGCATAGCAAAAGGGTACATCATATAGGTGCGCAATGGGGTTTAACTTGTGCCTCGACTTGTGCCTTATTTAGTACATAATCAAAAGTATTAGAGGTCAAATTCTGAAAAAAATGCACGGTTAGCGAGTTATGAGCCAAAAAGCAAAAAAACTCCCCTTTCGGGGGATGAAATTAGGGGACGCGGAAGGAAATTTTTGGAGAATATTCTTGATTCATTATCAACACCCCTGACTCTACATAAAAAAAAATAAAACCCGACTACCATCGAGTTTTCCTTCTACAATCTTTGTTTCCTGGACTAGTAACCGTTTTTTCTCATTCTAATTCTTGTACGCCTTTTTAATGAATATAACTGTACTACCTATTGCACTTTTACAGGGCTCCCACGGATAAATTACAAATTTTATTTAGGAATTTAGGAGGTTTTTTGGAGAATTTTAGGAGAAAAAAGTATGCAAATGAATTTATTTAATTAAATAAAAACAACTCTACACTATACTTAAAAAATAAGAAAAAAATAAGTAATTCTTTTTAACAAAAATATAAATAAATATCACTTCTTTTGTACAAATAGGTTATATTGACTAGTTTTTTATCCAAATCGCTCGTCGAGTTTTTTTTTTAATAAAATGGAAAGTGAGGTAAAATTACTACTTTTGTATATACCTATCTACAAGTAGAAATTTCACCACATTTTTAATTTTATTTAAAAAAAGCGTCGATAGATATGGCTAAAAAAGTAGGCCAAAGTTTAATGATGTTATATTTATATTTAAAAAAAAAATAACAGTTTAGTTAATAACTAACAATAATTGTAATGTTATTGTTACTAAAAAATCTCATAATAGAAAAAATATAACATTCTATCATTTAAAAGAAAATTAAAAATCCTTTTGTTTGATATATAACACGGTATATTTTTGTCGAAAATTAACGAAATATGGCTAAAAATGACAATTTTGTAGAAGTCTAGAAACTATTACATGGATTTTGTTTTATGGTATATTTTGTTGGTTTTTAAGAAAAATGTAGGTTGTGATACATATATCATTTTAAAAAGAATTTAATAAACTAGAACCCAAAAATATATATTTTTTAAATTACTTTTTAAAAAAGAAATTTTTTAGCACAACTACCTTAATTAAACGCAGTCAAGTTGGTCTACTTATATTTAATTTTTAGGAGTTTTAGGAGATTTATGGCAATTTTAGGAGAATTTTAGGAGTTTTTAGGATTTAAGCCAAATTTTATGAATTTTATGAATTTTAGGAGGTGTGGGAGCCCTGTTTTTAGAAAAGTGACAGTTTACTCAGGATCGGCCTATTAGTCTAAGCATTACTCACCATATTCAGCAGTTCGGGTCCCTTGACGGAAATAAAATTGATGCCGGCCTCGTTGGCCACCGCCTTGGCCAGCAGCGTTTTGCCGCAGCCGGGCGGCCCGCACAGCAGAACGCCGGTCGGCACGTTCAAACCGAGACGTTCGAACTGTTCGGCGTGGCGCACCGGGGCCAGGATGGCCATCTGCAGCTCCTCGCGCACGTCGCTCAGCGAGCCGACGTCGGCCCAGGTGGTGTCGGGCACGGTGGCGAAGCCCTCGCGCTTCGCCGAAGGCTGCACGCACTTCAGCGCGGCCGCGAAGTCGTCCATCGTTACGGAGAGGCTCTGGAGTTGGGCGTCGGTGATGGGGGTTTTGTCGTGCAGCCACGAGATTAGTTCCTCCAGCGGGGTCAGCTGTTTTACCACATTGTCGACGGGCATTGGTTCCTACAGAGAAAAATTATTGTGGATTTATTGAAACGTCGGGTTCAAGATAGATTAAAACATGGAATAGGTATGTTACACTTTCATAAGTGAGCGACTTCTGTTATGTGTTTTTAAGTGTAAAAAATGTCCACCTGCCAAATGAAAATCTGTAAAAACAATGCCAAAAGAAAAAAAACTGAAAATCAAATACATTTCCATAGTTTGGGCTTGAAAAAATTGATCTTAAGTATAGTAAGTAGATTTATTTTACAAACAATTAAATAGCAGTAGTTTTTTAGAGGTACTTTCCTTTTTTATACACATATTACCTGTAACAGATATACATGTGTATAAATAAAAAAATAATTGTTTCTTTTGTAGCTTGTATTTGTTCTATTTACGAAAATAGTTGCTATAAGAAGGATAATTAAATGGAAAAAATAGAAAAAACTACATTCCTATAAAAAAGTCTTTAAAAGTGTATACTGTTTCAACTTTAACAGATAATCTATCAAAATAAAAATCAAGTACTTTGTAAGAAATTAAAATAAAATAGGAAAAAACAATGTAAATCATAGTTCTTTTTACAGTGTACAAGAAATAGGACAAAACCAGGAAGCATAAAGCATGAAGACAGCCTGTAACAGAAACTCAAGTACTGCAGTGTAAAAATTTAAAATCAAATTTGAAAAACAAAATTAATTAAAATATAATCTTTCTTTTTGCATTGTGCAGGAAATGTGCAAACAAGGAAGCTAATGATCTTTAAGGACAGTCCACAACAGAAACTCAAACTGCAGCATGCTCAGGGTTCCCAGCATTGTTTGCTACTTTTTTTTAATGATTTTATGACAAATTTTTCAAATTTTATGACACTTTTTATGACAAGAATTTATTATTTCTTAAGTTATTTTAATAAAAAATATGTAATTTCATCAAAATAAATATTTCTTCTATTATATTTTTAATATATATTACTTTAGTATCTTACTATAATAGGTATTATAATCTCAAAATAAATAAAACCGCATACTATTTTTTTTTGCTTTTTTGAGACCCATGTTAATCATTGTTTGAGCCTCCAATATTTTAGATTTTTTAAGAGTAATCTTATTGTTAAGGTACTTTGATAATTTTTTATTTCCTTCAGAAATAAAATTTCTTGCTATTTTTAACTCTGCTTCCTAACTTTGCCAAACTACTATCAATTTCTTTAAGTCCTTCTTTGCGTTTGCGCTTTCTGCCTTCCTTTTATAAAGTAAATGTGGCCTATAAAAATAACTTTACCATTCTCATTATTTATTTCAAATTTTGAAATTCCCATAGATTAAACAAAGTTTTCCTTTATAGCTTCATAGCTTTGTTATCTATGCTTCATAGTATGAAGTTTATACGTCAACAACCAAGGCCGTTTTTAAAACATTAATGTTTTAAAAACGGCCTTATTGCGTTTTATTTTACAAGACCGGCTTTAAAGTTTATTTAAACAAAATTTCCATTCTATAAAAAAGATCAAAGGTGAGAAAATTGTTCAAAAATAATGAAATTTTATGATTTCTATGACAAAATGTAGTTTTTATGACATTTTAGGACAATTTAACCTATTTTATGATATTTAAAATTTTTATGACAAACGGGAACCCTGCATGCTGCAACCCAAAATCCCATAATATAATATTTTTCACAAGTTTAGTTTGTTTTATTTAATGTTGGCTCCATGGTGGCCAATTTAGGGTTTTTATTTGGCAACTAAACCTACATTTTTGACATTTTCAAAGCCCAAATAACAAAAACTGGGCACCTACCTACTAAATTTCAATTATTTATAAATTCGATTTTAATGGTATTTTTTGACGTTTCTAAAAGCCTTTAAAAATTTTCAATTTAAGTTATGTGTGTACTTTTAAGCCAATCCAAAGATTATTATATCGGAAATAATATCTACTAGAATTTATTTTCGGGGAAATTTTATGATCTGTCAGATGACAAATATATCTGTCATCGGTATACGCTAAAGAAGTATCGGGTTTTCGCAACGCGCGCGCCATCTGGAGGACTTCGAATGCATTGCGTGAATTTAAGAATTGTCAACAATAAATTTAAAGCACAGATTATACATAATTTTTAAATAAATAGGTAGTTTTTTTACAAAAGAGAGGAAGGCAGAAGTCTTACTCGACAAATTTTGTTCAATTGCACAGCTAAATCGCGCACGTTATTTGTGTTTTACGTTGCAAGGAAAAAATTAAAAAACTTTTTTAGTACTCGATTTCAATTGATTATTCCTGCTTATATAGTTATGTTAGTGTGTGTATTTTATCAAAGGGATCATGGTGAATTATTGTGTTTTTAATTGTAAATAAAATTCAAGAACTAAATCGATGCATTTTCATGTTTTGCCAAAGGATCCAATAAGTGCAGAATTAACTAATGATAACTTTACCTAATATAATTTATATTTAAGTTTGAACATTTTCAAGAAATTGGTAAAAATCAATTTTTGCACAAACATAACCTTAAAATCAATAATTTGAGTTCGCTAAAAAACGCCGCCAACTGCAATTTAAACAACAAAATATACCTACGAATTCATGGCAACATAATATTATATATAATACAAAATATAATGGTATTTTACCGTTGAGTGGAGACTTTAAAGAATTCTTAATCAACGCTTTAAATAATGCTAAATGCTGTTTAAATTTAGACGACTTATTTGTTTGACGATTTTTAGTGAATTGAAATGTTTACACTTTTCACGTTAATCACTACTAAAATGTGTATTTATTCTATTTAATAGGTACAATTTATATTTACAGAGACTGTATGCAATATATTTCTTCATTCAGATTAACACTGTTTATTGGAAAACCGGTAAAAACTCAACCCAGGATTTCCTCTCGAAATACACCTAATAACACAACAAATCGATCCACGGTTTTTTTTTCCGATATTTTTTAACATTTTCCGGCTTTATTTTCAAAAACACTCGTTTGTAACCTAAGCGTTTGACACCTGATTATTAAAAGTTCTACTTTTGTTACAATGATAACAGCCGAGTAGTGGCGTTACTAGCGATACTTCTTAAGCGTATTTTGAAATGAACAGGAAAAGGTTTAGTTTAACATCTGAGGATAAAATAAAGGTTCAAATACGAAAAAATAATTTAAAAAAATACTCAAACCAGCAATAAATCACTTTGGAAACAGTTTCAACCGTTTTGTAGTAAGATACTCTATATCATCAAAAAATATTCTTTCAAATACCACTCAAGGGATCAATAAATTAGAAAATATTTATCCAGAAAATTTCTCAAACTTTTTGCCATTCGGCAATAGACACTTGAGCCCTACGGGCTCTTGTGGCTACTTGATTGAAAACCCATATAAAATAGTTTTTTTTCATTAATGTTTTCTCAAAATGTTAATATTCTGATTTAGATTGATTTTTACGTGTGCTCTTCATTTTATTAGACAATTTAATCTAAAAATCGAATAATTTTATGGAAATTTTGACAAATTTTATAAGAGAATAATAATTTTTAAATTTTCAACATAATATGCAAAGTAAACCAAAATTCGTCCTACTAAAGATAATACCTTGTTTTGTGACGCCCAACCATAAAATTGTAACAAACCTATTTCACGTGACAATAAATTTACATATATTTTTTCGTTAGGGACCAATGTCAGAACGCCTAGACACTTACTTGTTGAGGCTCGGCAACCTCGACATCCTCCCCGTTGACAACCTCTAGGCTGCTTTCGGGGTCTTTGGACTCGGCATTGTTCGGTTTGTTCTGCTCGTCGTCGACGTCGACGACGACGCACTCCTTGTCGTTGGCCTCGTTCGAGGGCGGCGTCGCCAACTCCTTGGTCGCCTCGTCGTCGACAACGATCTCCGGATCGCTCTTGTTGGAATCGTTCGAAGCGGCATCTTTACTCTCTTCTTCCTCCACCACCACTTCCGGGGACGTGGCCTGTTCTTTTGGTGGTTCTACTGCGGGAGCTGAAACCGGGGACGCCTGGCGCGGGGGTTCCTCTATTTTACGGCTGTCGCGCAGCTCGTTGAATACCCTTAATAACAATAAAAACGAATTATTATTATATTATTATTATTATATTATTATTATATATTATTATATTATTGTATATAACGCCACGAGATATTTACGCTATTTTTCATGACAAGCGCAACAGAAATTCGACTTTTGCAGCGAGAAAAAAATCGTCAATATTTGCGCGTTTTTATCAGAGATATGGAGGTGGGGAGAATGAGCTTCGACCATTGCGCATCCGATTTTTGCCCGACGCTCTGTAGGCTGCCATTTTCTAGTCGATGACGTTATTTGTTTAGTAAACACCGAGTTTCGAGGTTATAATTTTTCACGTTCGTTTTAAGTATTTGTATTAAACGGTTTGTTCTATAGTGTTCTGTTGTTTTGTGCTTAATTATGGCTTGTTGTGCTGTAAAAGACTGTAAGAATAACAGAAAATTTCCAACCCCGGGTATAAGTTTTCATGTGTAAGTACATATTTACATTTTAAATTTTTAACAATAGTTACAATAATACCTATATCTACTATTTAAAGGTTTCCCAAAGGAGAGCTTCAAAAAGTATGGCTTAATTTAATTGGAAAATCAGAAGAAAATTGGACTTGGAATAAAAATAAAGTTATTTGTTCGGAGCACTTTAAAAACGAAGATTTTGCTATGCGTTTTGGCAAAAGGTTTTTAAAATTAAAAAGTGTGCCTTCTCTAAAACTGGAAAAATCAAAATCCAAACCATCTTGTCAGGTTATAAGCACTGCATTAACTTTGTATTCAGATTCTGAGGCATCAACAAGTAAAGTTAAAACTAAACTTCAAGAGTCTACGTCATCAATGAATGAAAGTATATTAAAGAAACAAATAAGGAGAAAACGAAAGATTGAAACTAGGTAATATAAATTAAATGCCTTTAATTTTATATTTTTAATAACCTTCAATTTGTAGAGGAGAAGCAAGCCAAAATACTTCTGCAGCTAGTACCAGTACTGACAGCAGTGCAAAACAAAAGAAAATTAAATTTTTCAAAACTATACACAACTATAGGTAGGCAATGCTTAGTGAAGTTAAAATATTTGTCTACTTCGATGCTTTTAAGAACTTCTTAAAAGCATTTATTTTAGGATTTTATTTATTTCTAAACGTTAAGATGATACCAAGTACTTGGTATCACAATAAGGGTCATTGTAACACTAGGTTTACAATATACTATTATTTAATTAATTTTGAATTACTTTTTTGTGGTTGTTTTATTTATTATTTTTTATTTTAGTATATCTCCTTCAAAAGTTAAGAAAATGAATACAGATTTAAAACAAAGGCAAGCAGCTTATAGGAAAAAACTTTATGGTGCAAATAAAGAAATAAAATCTTTAAAACATAAAATTTTAACCATGCAGGTGGTAATGGAGCATCTAAAAAAAAATCAAAGTGTATCTGAAAATGCTGCTGATCATTTAGAAAAAACATATGGTAGTGTTCCCCATCTATTAATGAATAGATATTTAAAAAATATTAAAAATGAAACCATAACACATGAGTCTTATCCTCCAGTATTAAGAGAATTTGCCGCAACCTTGCAATTTTATTCCAGTAAAGCATATGAAGAGGTTAGAAAAGAATTTGCAATGGCTTTGCCTCATCAGGCCACAGTTAGAAAATGGTATCAAAATGTTAACTGTGAACCAGGGTTTGTTTCAGCAGCATTTGATGCTCTGAAGCTAAGAGTGGAAGAATCTCCCTTGATCCTATTGCCACAACTACCCTTAGAGGAGACAACCATCATCTTGCATCTAAAGTCAAACATTTTTATATTTTCAGTTTTAAACAAATATACGATTCTATTTTAAGAAGTATTGTGTATGACAATTGTTGTAATGTAAAATATGTGTTTGAATTGTAATGTATATACATATATGTATATAGAGGTGTCCCTCTATAAACTATCTTTTATATGTTTTTTGCGACGAATAAAGAATTATTTATTATTATTAAGTAACAACTTAACTTTTATTTCATACCAATCATACCAGGATTATTAAAATATATTATTTTATTAAAATTTAATTTGAATAATATTCAAACCTAAACATCATTTGTAATTGGGGTAATTGAAAATGTTTTACCAGGGCTATTTCAAATATACGAGGAGCAATTAAAAATGTGTTTTCGGGGTTATTTAAAATATAAATTTAAAATGTTTTTAACTTTAAAACGTGAAAAATATGCAATATAAAAATGAGAAAATTGTTGTTTTAGAAAAATACAATTATTTTTAGTAAAAAGATTAAATGTTAATCTTATATTATGTAAAAAATAAAAGAAAAAACTATATTTAAAAAAATTGTAATTTTATTATTCATTTGTTTAAGTTTGGGAATTATTCAAATTAAATTTTAACAAAATATATTTTAATAATTGTTAAAAATTATTTTATTCATTATAAAATAATTTTTAACAATTATTAAAATATATTTTGTTAAAATTTAATTTGAATAATTCCCAAACTTAAACAAATGAATAATAAAATTACAATTTTTTTAAATATAGTTTTTTCTTTTATTTTTTACATAATATAAGATTAACATTTAATCTTTTTACTAAAAATAATTGTATTTTTCTAAAACAACAATTTTCTCATTTTTATATTGCATATTTTTCACGTTTTAAAGTTAAAAACATTTTAAATTTATATTTTAAATAACCCCGAAAACACATTTTTAATTGCTCCTCGTATATTTGAAATAGCCCTGGTAAAACATTTTCAATTACCCCTCGTATAGTAACCTAGAAGATGGCGGCGCCCATGATTAGGAAGTTTGCGCATATTGACACTCATTCTCCCTACCTCCATATCTCTGGTTTTTATACATCCTTGAGCGGAACATAGTGAAGTTAACGCATAAATAAAAATTAAGTCGTACAAACCTAAATACAATTAAATAAGTTAACTTTTGCTAATACAATTTTAAGCCAAACGCAAGGATATTTTGAATTAGTTTTAAAACAGCCAATAAAAAGAGCGATTGGCCACATGTATGCTTTGTTTGTATGTTGTTATGTGTGTAAAAATAGTTATGTTGATATAATTTTATTTTTAATATTGTTTTGAAACGTACATTCTACAAACTTTTTTATGATGTGAAAAAAATTATGAAAACATTTTTGGAAGGCTTGGCAATATATTTTATGAAAAAAAAAGTTTTTTGATTAAGTTTGTTAGTAAATTTAATTGTCTACAAAAAACACCTTTTTCAATTATTGCATAAATATTATACTTTCAGAGATCATTGCAATTTCAGTTATAAAAATGAAAGTACAATTGGCGAGCTTAAGATTTTGACCGAATTTGGTATATATTTTTTTACCTTATAGAATAATATCTTTGCTATTACCAAATTAATTTCGAAAAAAGCGGATATTTGACACTCTAATGAACAAGCTTAACTTGTAATATTTTTCATTTTATTTTGCAGATATAGGTACTACAATATTATATAAAACTATTAATTCATTGATATTTATGGTGGGTTTATACAACTTCATATCATTAATTTATTTCATAATTCACAATTTAGTGAATAAGCATAAAAGTTAAATCGCACTATCTGCTATGAAACAGTTTATACAACGATTTAATGATTAAATTTTAATCAGTAACTCACAATTTGGTGTACATCGAATAACTTTGAAAGTTCATAAAATTTAACTTTTATAAAATAAATTATGAATTATAATTATAAGATTGAATAGCGCATGTGCCAACAATTTTTTTCTCTCCATCTTTTAAGGTAATAATTAATAATTATTGTGTTTGAGCCATAAAAAATCCTACAAAACATGAGTTTAAATGAGGGATTTTGTGTTATTTGTCACTTTTAATTATCAATATTGTCATTTGAAAAAATAAAATATACCTATATTAAATTAATGAATTGTATAAACCAGATTTTAGAGTTATGTACATTAGGGTGCTTCAAAAAATAAAATTTAATTTTTCTAAGAGGTCGCTGTTTTTATTTTAGTTTCCCATTTAATTAACATGGGAAAAAATAATTTTATGTTTGGAATTTTATACCTCTGTATCAAAGTAACTTATGGCAATGATCATTGCAGTTTCTTATATAAAATATAACGCTCTACAAAAAAGGTCTCTTATTATTTTTCGATAAATTGATTTCTTCTAGAGTTAATCGAGGTCAAAGTTTGATTATCATCAAATTTTTTGGTTTTTTAAATTTTATGGTACAACTAGTAGACGGGAGGTGAAAGGGGGCAAAACAAGGCAGCAGGGGGGCCAAATGGGGTACCCAAAAAATGAATGAAAAGTTTTCCAATATTGTACCATCCTTTTTCTCGCTCTACAGCCTCAGAATAATTATTTTTGATTAAAAGCGTGGTGAGTCAATATATTTTCAAATAATTTATAACGGAAAAAAGCAATCTAAAAATTTTTTTTTTAAATTTTTTGGGTACCCCATTTTGCCCCCCGCTGCCTTGTTTTGCCCCCTTTCACCTCTCGTCTTCTAATTGTACCATAAAATTAAAAAAACCAGAAACTGCAAAGTTACTTTGATACAAAGGTATAAAATTCCAAACATAAAATTATTTTTTCTCATGTTAATTAAATGGGAAACTAAAATAAAAACAGCGACCTCTTATTGTTGAGCTGGAAGGCCCATATTTGGTAGGAATTTTTTTTATATTAAATTAAAACATTTGAGAGGGTAAGAGCGAAAAACAAAATTAAATTTTAATTTTTGAAGCACCCTAATGTACATGCATTAAATTAACAATTGAGTTATGAAATAAATTGTCCACTAAATTAACAATTGTTGTATAAATCCGACTTAATGTTTTCATCAATATTATTGATTTTCTACAAAACATAAATAGCGATTGTACATTTTAAAACTGAACCCCTCATATTCTATAGACTCACCTATTAACTGCAGACATGGCAGATTCCCTAGTCAAGGAAAGCAGATCGGCTCCGACATATCCGGGAGTGTATTTTGCCAAACTCTCATAGTCAAAATTTTCGGCCAACCTCAGGTTCTGCGTGAGCACTTTGAGAATGTGCAGACGCGATTGTACGTCCGGTATGCCAAGGCATATTTCACGATCGAAGCGGCCAGCTCTACGCAGAGCCGGATCTATGGAATCCGGTCGGTTCGTGGCACCCACCACCAAAACCCGGTCACCCGAATTGTTCTGGCCCAAGTCTTAAAAAAATGTTGACACTTCTATACAATTTTTGTTGACTATTAAGGCAAAAAATTAAAAAAAAACCATTTCTGTGAATTAATTCTTGGAGCCTAAGCTTTCTATCATAGAAGCATTTAAAAGTTATTATTTGAAAATACAAATTTAACCTATTGCTTTTTTCTGCGTTACAACTTTTGGCCTATAATATATTTGACACTCTGTATCATATGTACTCGTACATGTGCATTTAAAGATAAAAGCGCCCTGAACAAACCAAAAAACTAAACATTTGGAGTTGAAGCGTGTGAAAAGTAAAGGGATTAGTTTTTTTTGGTTTACTCCCTTTGCAGACAGCTCCCATAAATGGACATTTCCCAAAATTAGACCATTTTTTTGGAACCCTTTTTTTCCATTGTGTTTATTTAACTTTTTTATTTGCATAGAGAAATGTTGGATCCATGAGTGTCTGCTTATTAGAGCTTTTACTGTATACTGTGTCCCCAAATAAGTTATTATCCTTTAAGGTTAAGATGGTACACGCCAAAATAAGAAAGTTTTTCCTCTATCATTTTTGCATTAGTGCCATATTTAAAAAAATCATTAAAATTATTTTAAGTAGTAAAGTAGAAATTTTGGGCCGCCACCGGTTATTCCTGACCTATGACAACTGACGCAAAATATGGTTGCCCAGTGGGCAATAATCTATATTTATTAAAAATTTACATTTGTGTTATCATTGATTACTTTGTTGGTTTTTGTTTTGCATACTCAGCAATTTTTAGGTACTTTGAATAAAACAATACTTTTTATTGTTAGGTATCTCGAGGTTTCCGTCGTTTTCCCGTCGATTTTAAATTTCACCTTTCACTTTTGCTCATTTTTTTAAGTGTCACAAAGTTGACAGCCGCGTAAAAAATTATGATGTGTCGCTCTTGCTATCTTATTCGCTCTGGTACACTAAACTGTTCATGTACCCCAGAGAAACCACAATAACAACCAAACTGTCAGTAATCAATGATAACAAAGTACCTACTAACCGATTTTAACCAAGATACATACACCTTAAGATAGGATGGTGCGCATGTTGGGCGGGGCTTAAATACGTCACTTGATGAGTGTTTTTAAATCTTTAACGTGCTTTTTAATTATCTGCTGCTAAAATTCTTGTTTTTGCGGTGCTGTTGGATGTTAACTTGCTCTATTTTTTGTTTAACTTGTTGTTTTTGTGTTCGGTAAGGTTAGAATTACTTTTCAGTATTCAAATTATTGTTATTGCGTTGCGTTAACCTGTTCTGTTTGTTTATTATTGTTTTTGTGTTGCGTTAACTTGTTTTGTTTGTGTTTTAGTTTGTGTCGTGCCATTTGCATTTATTAAAATGCGGTGTGGCATATTTGGATGCAATTCGGACAACCAGTCCAAGAAAAACCCTTTAAATAAAAACATTTAATTTAATTGATTCCCGAAAAAGTTTGATTTGTGGAAACAGTGTTTAAATACCACAAAAAGAATAGACAATATTAAAGTTAAGGCCGCTTCTGTTTCCTATAAACATTTTCTGGACAGTGACTATAAGTTTAATTTAAAACACCAACGCTTAAACTACAACCCTTAATATTATCAAGGACTGAAAGCATCCATTATCCATATTATAACACTTTCTTCAATATTAAGTTTAATAAAAACGCACTATGTCCAGATATTTATCTATTTTCTTTGATAATATTACTATTATTCGTGTATTCTCACGGCAACTACTCATCAAGTGACGTCATGCGCGGGACGAACCAAAACTCGTACACGGGAGCATCCAGCCCTGGATTTTAACTAAGTTTAAAAGTTTGCTTGATATTACATAATACACAATGTGTCATGTCATGCGCATACCGGTTTATTTTTTGCTTATATGAATAATATCATTGTTTTTAGAGGTAAAAATAATGATGATATATAGGATAGGTAGAGATGCGACTTTATTGTTTTTTTTTTTCAAATGGTTTTTTTTCATACTTTAGTTTTTTTTTCAAGATTAGTCTCATTTGCCTAATTTTTTATGTTTCCAGTCCAGTTCATGGGCTAAAATTAGCACTAAATGACATTCAGTAGATGTAAATTCAGTCTCGCGCTATGCACACGCCACCACCACCGAATTGACCAATAAGGGCTGCGCTTGTTTTGATTTGGTCCTAAAAAAGTAACTACCTCTAATATTTTTGATTCAGCGCTTGATTTTTCAAAAAGCTACCAAAAGCACTTTTTTCATGATTTTTCAAATTCATGTAGAGTATGGAAATTCATGTAGAACATTTATTCATTGCTGGTTAAGTCAGAACATTCCGTGGACCAAAAGCCAAAAAAATTTCGAATTTTTTTATTACGGTATTTGTTAGGATTGAGCCTTGCACGTTTTTATCTAAAAATCTCAAAACTAGAAACTTCAAGCTTCAAATTGCTTTTTTTTACGGCTCCAATACGACCACTTTTAACGAAGATAGAGCTATCCGAAAAAATTTTTTTATCCTTTTATTTTTTTATCAGTGTAGAAGTTTAACATTGCTAATGGTTTGTTATGTGGAAACTACCAAATAATAAGATATCAGATTTTTTAGTATTGATCAAAATTTTCAATAAATTAAAAATTTATTATATTCTACATTTCAATTCATTATTAATATACATTTTACTCAAAATTTCATTTTGAAAAATTACTCAATTTTTTAAGATTGATGACAGAGTAGTATGCTTTATTGTAGCGAATTTAAAACGTTCTTTTTCTAGGTTTTTTCACATCTGAAAAAATACCGTTTTTTACATCTCTAAGGATAGGTCAGTTACATTCAGTGGCTCCCTGGTTTTGTAAAACAAATTTCATTTTTTTTTTATTAAAAGGTGACACCCTGTATTAGTTTTTTTATGCAGATTAAAGAAAAATCATTATCAAGACTTTTTTGGTAAAGAATTATTTTGCAAACCTAATAAAAAGTTATACCTATTTTTGGAAGTAATAGAAGAAAAACCATGAAAAAAATTAAAAAAGCAATAAGTTTGTTTATTGTTATGATTTCAAAAATATAAATATAACGTTTTTTGGGGTTTAGTTAGTTAGTTTAGTTTATTTGTTAATTTAGAGGAAACAAAATTTATGTTGACATGGAAAGCAGAGATAAATAATTGTATTATAATAATTATTATTATATTATAGAGGTACTTACCATCTAGACAGCTGAGCAACTGCGCAACAATTCTGCGCTCCATTTCTTTCTGCGCATTCTGTCTGCTTTGTGTGATGGCGTCAATTTCATCGATAAATAAAACGCAGGGCGCAGAAGCGGCGGCTTTTTCGAAAAGTTCCCGAATTCTCTCTTCACTTTCGCCTGAAACTCCTGCTACCAATTCTGGAGCAGCAACTTTTAAAAGAGGAATATTAAGTTCCTAAAAGAAGATCAGTTTATTTTTTTATTATATTAATATTTTTGCATTACCCCAGCAATGGCATTTGCCAATAAAGTTTTACCACAACCAGGTGGTCCATGCAGCAAAAACCCCCTGGGAGGTGATATTCCAATTTTTTGATATAATTCAGGATGCTTGATGTGTACCAAAAGTTTACAAACATCCTCTAAAATCTTATCCATACCACCCACATCTTTAAATGTAGTGGCAGATTTTTCCAAATCTGATATTTGTTTTTTCTTTTTGGCTGGACCCTTACTGATTATTGATATATTGGGTGTAACGTCAAGCTTTCTTTTCTTGTTTTGTTGATAAGAACTGTTTCGTGCAATGGCCTGGTAGCGATCATTTTTTAAATTTTCAGGCACAGGTTTTTTGACATTGTAGTTATTTTGATAGTTTGCTTGCTGCTGTGAAGTTGAAGGTCCATTGCTGGGTTTGTTATTGGCATAAGTTGCCTTATCTTCTGAGTCATCACTGCTTATGTCTATGAGCTCATTTTCGTCAATGTGTTTTGGAACTACAGCAGGTCTACTATATAAGTCTACCAACTGGGCACTCAATGAATTGGACTAAAATAACAATTATTAATGATTTAAATACAGTTGTGGCCAAAAGTTAGGACTAATTAATTTACGTGTTTTCGTCTGTATTTTATTCTTTTAACAAAATTTGAAAAAGGTAATATATTAAATAATTGTTCAAATGACATACAAATCTGTTATGATGTTCTGCTGCTGTTTCTTCTTCACTGACATCATCCTCTTCATCCTCTGAGGTTTCATGATCCTGCAAACCATAACTTTGTAAAACAATGCCATAGGCTTTTTTAACTGATGCTCTAAAAGCACTACGCTTCCTCTTTGCATATTCCCTGTGAGCAGATTGAAGATCATCTGCCATGGAATTTATATCAACAAAAGTCTTATCCACGTTTGATTCCAAATACTAAAATTCCAAATTCGCTGCGATTTTGGGCGTATTTAAAAATATATTTACCTTTTGAACGCGTGGTACAATGGTTGGATCCGACATGTAAGGTTGCCTTTGCATTTTTGAACGCTTGTGCAACGGACGTGTAATTGAACGTTTATTCACTGAATTCAAATCACCCAATGGAATTATTTCGACTTCTGAATTGTTGGTGATTCTTCCCATTAGAAATCACAATTATTGTTTGCCTCCAAGTTTGATTTTTGACAGCACATATAACGCAAAAGCGAAACGCTTTTTTTCAGCGACATCTGCTTACGTATAGCACAACTAATTATCAATAGACATTAAAATATAAGAAAATTATAAATATATAAAACTTATTGTATATATAAAAATTAATTTTAATTTATATTTATTTCCTATTTTATATTGTGACAATAACCACTTTTATCAGAAAAACAAGCGTTTAAAAATTGTTTTGTTGGCAACGTCGCATTGTGCATATGACAGCTGTCAATAGTTTTAGGTTATATTAGGTAACAAATAGCAATGGCATCAATTTTAAGGCAGTTTGCGAAAACCCTAATAGCACCAACTGCCCGTAATGCAGGTAATACCCATATTTAATATAATTAACAAGTAAACCACATTCGGTAAATTTTAGTTGCCCTCAATGCTGTACGATTCAAGTCAACTGAACCAGCAGAAGTCAAAGAGACAAGACGTGAGTTGTAGTTTTATTTTAATATTAGGATTTGCTAAATTAATGATTTTAGCTACCGTAAGAAAAGCTGACATTGCAGCCCGAGCTCAGTTGAAAGATTTTGGAAAATATTGTGCTGATTGTTTACCAAAATATATACAGAAAGTTCAGATAACTGCAGGCGACGAATTAGAGTTGCTTATTGCTCCAGAAGGTATTTTGCCTGTTTTACAATTCTTGAAGGATCACCACAATGCCCAGTTTTCAAACTTAGTTGATATTGCTGGTGTTGATGTTCCATGTCGTACCAATAGATTTGAAGTATGTTAAATAAAAAAATGTATTTCATTATTAATGTCTTGTGTTTTAGATTGTATATAACATTTTGTCACTTAGATTTAACTCTCGTATTAGAGTAAAGACCTACACAGATGAGTTGACTCCAATTGATTCTTGTAACGATGTTTATAAAGCCGCAAATTGGTATGAGAGAGAAATTTGGGATATGTATGGTGTATTCTTTGCCAACCACCCTGATCTAAGAAGAATCTTGACTGATTATGGTTTTGAAGGTCATCCATTCAGAAAAGATTTCCCACTTAGTGGATATGTTGAGGTATGACATTGATTACACAGGGTAACATGGTTTTAAATAGAGCATTATTGGTGCTGACTCAGCACTGTTTTAATTTAATGTGGTAGAAAACTTGTTTGTGTGATTAATCACTTTGTTTTTAAATTGTGTACAAAATATCACTTTAATGTCAATAGTTTTAAATTTAATATAATAATAGCAATAACACAATTTTATAAGAAAGGTTACCTGTGTTAAAAATTGCATATATAAATTAAATTTATCATATCTTTAGGTGAGGTATGATGATGAAAGAAAGAGAGTTGTATGTGAACCTCTTGAGTTGGCCCAAGAATTCAGGAAGTTTGAATTGGAAGCTCCATGGGAACAATTTCCTAACTTCAGGGGAGCCAATCCTGCTTCAGAAGAAGTTGATATTAAGAAAACACAGAAGTAGTTTTTTTAAATTTAATATTGTTAATTGAATGGTAAATTAATTTAAAATATAAACAAAAAATAAATTTAGTCTTCAATTATTTATTATCTTTTAAGGATGGCATTATTTTTTTGTGTTATTTTTTGTTTGGTAAGTACATACCACACTCATTATCTCTTTATATTTATTAAAAAAAATTAAACAAACGAATACCTACCTGAATTTTTACACTGTTAAAAATAATGGTAAATTTAATATAAGTTTACTATTGAAAGGTATGGTAAAATTACAAATTACAGTTTTGAGAATGACAATTACTATACTGAATCAGGATATTTCCATAATTTAATTGTATTCTTAGTATTTTTTAGTATATTTAAAAGTTTAGGAAAAATACAATACTACTACAGTAATATTACTTATACAATTAATTGGGCATAAAACTTCCTATTTTTATTGTAAAGTAGAGATCAAAATTTTTAAGTTTAGGGTATTTTTATACCTACTAAAAATAAAAAATGTAATTTGTAAAGTAACTACTATGATTTTCAAACTTAAATATATTTCTTAAAAAAACACGAAAATCTTTTTCTTGTCGTTTAAATTTGTAAAACCTTTTTATGTACTGGCTGTGTGCCAGGTGAAGCAAAACAAAAAGAGGTACCAAGTTCTCGATTAAATGATACACACAAATACTCTTTTTAAATGTATTTATTAGTTTACATTTTGTTTTTAATGTCCAAATTTTACTTTTAAATCTTAACATACCTTATACAGAAATTCAGAGAATTACAGAAAAACATTAAATTTTATCAGCGCAACTTGCGCGCTTCTCTAGTTTGATATTCCAAACATTGAATAGAACGTCAAATTATGTATTATTATGCACTATACAATTTTGGCGGTTAACGTAATTTCTTAGTTCAGGTTACATTACAATGTTAAAAAGAATGTAATTTGTTAAATTTAACATTTTCTATCTTGTGTAACCCTATATAATAATTAAAATGTAAAATGCAAAATTTAACTAATAATGCGTAAAAATATTTTGAAAACACTTTATATTATATTTTTATTTAGTTTTTTATTAATGAATTATAAAATAAAATGGATATAAGTAAAGGTGTAAGAAGCAAAATTGTTTTTTTTCTCATAACTTGAAAATTTTACGAGTTCTGCATCTTGATTAATACAAGCAACAGTATTGAAACAAGTATCCATATTTTTGTATATAACAAAAACTTTAATAGTTATCTTTTTTGCACTTTTGCTTCTTACCCCTTTATATATATTTTTTATTATTTATTAATATTATTACATGTAATAATATTAATAAATAATAAAAAATTTATATGAAGGGGTTTGTCTTTATATATATTACCTAATATTAATAATTATATATTAAAGTTAAGCATGGAAATTCACACCCCTATCAATAATGACATTAATGAAATGATTTTATTTTATATTGATATATAATGACATAATTTTTAAGATATGATAACATCCGAATTTTCTTGTATCCAATCCAAAAATTTAGCAATATTAGTAAAAACCGAGGGATAGCACATTTCACAGAAAGTGCTACCTATAGAAACAATCCCTATTTGAACATCTTCATGCATTAAAGGTCCCCCTGAATCTCCCGAACAAGTTCCTTTGTTTTTATGCCCAGAAACGCAAAAATTCGATTCGTTTATAAACTCCTTAGATTCCGTATTAAAATATTCCCCACACGAATAAATATCCAAAATTGTGACATTTACGAAACGAAGCACTTGCGAAATGTCGTCTATGGAAGATCGGCTTTTGTCTTCAGTCAAACCCCAGCCCAGGCTGCAAACTGATGCTGCGTAGTAATTATTGTCTTTTGTAGATCTTGTAGGAAGATTCACAATTTGTATGGATTCAGTTGGGTTTACTGGCTGAGAGAGCTTGATCAAGGCGATATCGTTTTGGAAAGTTTCAATATCAAATTTAGGGTGCACAGTAACTTTTTCTCCTTTAATTGTTACTTGGGTAGGTTCTTCTGCTGATATGTTGTGCGCTCCAAGAAGCACATGTACTGTTTTTATTCTGAAAAAAGTGTTGGTATGTAAAAGGTGTAGAAAATAAGGACTAAGCTATTCCTAATTTTACATATCAGTTTGTTTTTTAAATATAGTTTCTTACTTATAACACTGGTCAACAAAATGAAACTTTTTGTCTGCCTTTGGGTGACCAGTAACTTATTTAGGGTAATTAACTCTTGTTTTTGAGATATTGTAAAAAAACGTTTTTTCAATATGCAAACATTAAAATTGGTGTATATATTTTTTTAATCAAATGCTTTAACCAAAGATCATTGTTAATTTAACTATAAGTCCTAATTAAACTGGACAAAAATTATACACATTCATAAAGTAGCTTCGACAATTTTTAAAGATCAAATTGCTGTTTTTAAAACAAAAACAATGACAATGTTTAACAAAAACTTTAAAAATATGAAAACGTTCTTGCATGAGTAACAAAAACAAATCGTCACCTGAGAATTATAGTGTTCTATCTACATTTTCCTTTTTTTATTCAGGTTAGTCTTGTTTTAAGTCTTAAAGATGATATTGATCTATCTATATATAATTGGGGTAGAAATTGTAAAGTTTAAGGCTTAAACTGTACAATTTCTACCCCAATTATATATAGATAGAACAATATGCATCTTTAATACTTAAAACAAGACTAACCTGAATAAAAAAAAGAAAATGCAGATAGAACACTATAATTCTCAGGTGACGAAATGTCAATAAAATGGCAAACATGCTTTTTTCTAAACATGTTACTTAAAGAAAAAATATGGGTTTCCAGAAACATTTTTAATAAGTCGTACAAACGTCAGAAGCGGAAATGACCATAAAATTTATATTTATATTTAATATAAATTTTGACACCAGCGGTTATGAGTGACAAGTTGACAATTTTTATTGTTGAAATTTTAACACAAAATAGGGGGATAGGGGATAAATAATAGTAACATGGTACTATTACTATAAGTTCAATTTTATTTCAATGTTTTTTCATGGATAACTTGACAAAATAAAATTTTATGGTTTTTATTGTGCATTTTTTTTTTAATTTTTCAATAAAATTTAGCTTAGGGTCGTTTTGTGGGGTGGTGAATCCAGTGTCGTGCTTAGATTTTGTTTAAAAAATCGATTATATGAATTCTTAAAAATTTACTCTTAAAAACTGACATGGTATAGGCCTATAGGCCTTGTATTTTGTACTAATATGGCGTTTTTTGCTTCAAAAATACAGTTTATCAAGATCTACACTTTAAAACAAATCCGGTTAAAATCGCACAATTAATAAAGATTTTTCAGGGGTGAGTCGCAAACAAATGGGTCACACTGTATTAAACATTATAATGTATATATACTTAAAAAAACTTTTAATATCATTTAGTGGAATTTATTTCCTAATGGTTAAAAAAAGGTGTCTAATTGATCACTTTAGTAAATTTACTACAAAATGCTCCCTTATACATAAGCATTTTGATTTTCTTACAAAATATTAAAAAAAATTAACTAATTTAAGTAAGAAAACATGCAGTACTTACACTACGGCACAATGAGCTCCAGTCAAGACATAGTTTTCCGAAATCAATGTGCCACCACAAAAACTGTTACTGTTTATTATAAGTCCTACCATGAATGGAAATGAATGGGGCTTGGCTTCATCACCTCCAATTATCTTTAATTGTCTTGGAGTCGGAAGAGATCTATCTATTGCTCCAAGAGTTTTTCGATCGGAAATGTCTTGTACACCAAACTATTAAAAATTAAAAAATATATAAGTATATAAACTTCTGTACAGCCTGTTTATTGAATAGGTGGCAAATAGAAGTACATTTTACAAAAAATATCATCAATTAAAAGTATGAAAAAAGTGTCCGTTGTTTCAGCGTTGTTTTCAAAATACCTTTATAATATTTTTTCAGTAATTTTTTTGACTAAATTTAGTCTATTTCGTCATGGTTTTGATTCTCTTATATGGGGCAAAATTTGCCAAGTGTACCAGGTGAAAAAAATTTTGTCACCGATTTTGTTTAAACTTTACTTATTTGTTGTTCTTATAACGAAGAATCATAGCATAAAATTTTTTTGCTCTAGGATTGTTTATTCAAGAGTTATGGATTATTGAAATTTATCGATTTATTACTTTTTGGTGAAATCGCTTTTTATTTAAAAATTCATAACTTCTATTCATATCTTTATTAAATATTTTAATTTAACCACCTTAAATGATTTTTTCCGTACTTTTCAATGGTCTATACCGTTTTTGCAACAAAAAAAAAATTGCATTTTTTTTTTGAAATTTTGCAATATATTGCATTTTTTTAAACAATGTGTATTTTTTAATTTTTTTTAAAATAGCATAAAATCGAAGTTTATTATGTTCCCTTTGAATAAAAAAAAATTTTAGAGTGGGCCCGCATGAATGCGTGCGGGTCTAGCCATCGAATAGCTACTACACTGCCGTATGCGTTTATACCTACTCTCTAAAAGTGAAACAGTGAAATTTTCACTATTTCCGTCAGTGAATTATTATTCACTGTAAAATTAGTGTTTTTCAATATAAATTAGTGAAATTTCAACTTCTCCAAATTAGTGTTTTTTATTATCACTACTTTTTCGGAACTCTCGACATAAAATAGTGAAATTTTAACTTTTTTGAACTAAACCTATTTCACTAATTTGTACAGTGTAATTTCCACTAAATAAATTAGTGCAAAGAAATCGCTACATGAAAAAGTGAGTATTCACTAATTGCTAGTGGTATACTTATCACTGCGGCAAATAGTTAATATGCACTGTCAATCAGTGAAAATCCACTGTTTCATTTTTAGAGAGTAGTAGATGCGAGTAAACGAATACAAAATGATAATTTAAAATGTAAAATTAGTATGGTAGGGCACCAACACTTTATTCTTTCTGTATTTTACTTTAGCCACAAAAATAAAAATTAACATTATTCTAGTAATATCCGCCAAAAATCCTTCGAATTACGAAATCTACAAATCATATTTTAATCTGTAATTAATTAAATTAAAAAAATCATATTTTAATCTGCCGATTTGCAACACAAATATTCTGACTGACCGTTACGGTTTAAAAAGTAAGTAATGTCCGTACGGCGAATGTTTAGAGCTCGTCATGACAGCAAAAACAGTTTATAGACATTATATATTATTAACGCCATTGACCTATTCAGCTTATAGGCAAGCCGTTACGGTTATAACAATAAATTTTTTATTTAATATCATCGATCCTCCTTGCGAAATCTATGTAGACCCATGCTTAAACAATTTGTGCAAAAAAATACAGTTAAAAAACTATATAGCGGCAGTGTAAATATTTAAAATATATCATTGACTACTCAAACATAATTTTACATTTTAAATTATCATTTTGTATTCGTTTACTCGCATCTACTAGGTATAAACGCATACGGCAGTGTAGTAGCTATTCGATGGCTAGTCCCGCACGCATTCAAATATGAAAAACTTCCCTTCTACATGTCGGGCCCACTCTAAATTTTTTTTTATTTAAAGGTAACATAATAAACTTCGATTTTATGCTATTTAAAAAAAAATTAAAAAATACACATTGTTTAAAAAAATGCAAAATATTGCAAAATTTCAAAAAAAAATTGCAAATTTTTTTTTGTTGCAAAAACCTTATAGCCCATTGAAAAGTACGAAAAAAATCATTTAAGTTGGTTAAATTAAAATATTTAATAAAGAGATGAACAGAAGTTATGAATTTTTAAATAAAAAGCGATTTCACCAAAAAGTAATAAATCGATAAATTTCAATAATCCATAACTCTTGAATGAACAATCCTAGAGCAAAAAAATTTTATGCTATGATTCTTCGTTATAAGAACAACAAATAAGTAAAGTTTAAACAAAATCGGTGACAAAATTTTTTTGACCTGGTACACTTGGCAAATTTTGCCCCATATGCTCTCTATCTATATATCTACCGATACGAATAATATATGTATACAGGGTGTCCTTTTTCGAGGCTAAGTATCTCCCTAATATCTTATCTTGGAGTTTTAAAAGCTGCAATCAAATTTTTTTAGCAGATTTAAATTCCCATTAAAAAAGTGCCTTAATAATGTCTACATTAAAAAAGCTACCTTCCACTGTTTTTTAAATAAAAAGTTACAATAAAAATAACAAATTATTAAACTTCTCTTTCTCATTCGGGGTAAATCAAAACTGGACGCTTAAAAATTCAGCGTCGTATACGAATATTTAAACAAAATTCGAACTAGCAAAATCTTACCAAATCTCATGTTAAGGGAGGGGTGGATCATTAAAAATCTCACGTCAACTTTTGGGTTTAAAGATTATGTATTATAATTCAAATTTGTCAAAAAAAAGTAAACAATTTTTATTTTTTGGGTTTATCATATGTTGTCCGAAAAGGAAGTTTAATCGCTAGAATCTCACGTGAGGGATAGGGGGGGGTCTACCACATCTCACCAAATTTCACCAAGGGGGAGGGAGGGGTCCAAATTATCGGAAAAATGCCTCACGTAATTAATGGATGTCCCCAAATGGTAGGACACATTCGCACAATAGTACAAATTAAAAAATAGAAGGACAATTTTGCACAGTAGTTCAAAATAAAAAAATGTGAGAAAAAATCCTACAGCAGTAAAAATATAAAAAATAAAAAAAACAAATTAAAAAAAAAATATTAAAATGTTTAAAATAATAGTTTATATTTTTGTTTAATTTTTTAAGAGAAAATTCTTTGCCCAAGAAGAGATCAAAAGTTTAAAAACATAAAAGCTTAAAAAAGCTCTTAAACAAAGCTGAAAGCTTAAAAGCCTAAAAATGTTTTGGGTAATTGGAAACTGAGCTTTCGTTTAAAACCGGGTAATTGAAAACTGCCCAATAAAATTAATATTTCGGGTAATTAAAAACAATAGAAGTTCGAACAAAATTGGATCATTAAAAACTGCCCTTACATTTAATTTATTTAAAACTGGGTTATTAAAAACTGCACATTAAAATTAATGTTTTAGGTAATTAAAAACTGCCCAAAATTGAACAAAAGTTCATGACTGAAAACTGCCCAACTAGCAAAATAAATCCCTTAAAGAACTGAATTGTTTTATAACTATCGTCTAGAGCTGCAAAAAGAACATTTTTATTGTTTAATGCGTCTTAATACAATAATTTTATCGTAAAAACGACGAAATTCTAATACATTATTGTATATATATTCTTACAACTCGTGTTATAGAACCAAACTCATACACATTTTTTAACCATTGTATAACGTTTTATACAATCCCTTATAAAATTATTTTAAAAGAGTTGTATAAAAGTTATAATAGAGTTGTATACCTATTCTTATACTTGTAGTTTCAACGTTTTATGATAGTTGTAATAGAATTTGTATAAAAGTTGTATTGAAGCTCTATAAGATACATTAAAAAATTGTTTTTTTAAGCAGAAGTAAACACACTACACAATAAGTATAAAGTTATTTTATAATTATCCTATAACTACACCGATTAACTTCTTTATAGAAAGTTTATAAAATAAAATTATCGCAAGTTCTTCGTTATAATTTTATTACTTAAGTCTGTTTATACATTTAGTGTCTTATTACGCCAAAATATGTTAAGTATTTTTTTAAAATGGAGTCCTAATGGAAAAAAATTAAGAAAAGTGGGCATTTTAAAAGAAGAGCAAAAAAAAATTATCAGAGAATGATTCAGTCTTCTGGAAGTACTGCCGCAATAGAAAATTCTATTCAACATTTAGTCATATACTATACTCTATGCATTTAGTTGAGGCACCAACTCCAAATTCTTTTACAATCGATAGGTTAGGTCACATGTAGATAAAGAAGGTACCGCTAAAAAGTGGATAAAACAGAACACAATTGTATAGTGCGGTACAATGCATACCTTAAGCGATATTATTGTTCTATTGCGCAGTAGGCAAAGGCCTTATAGCCAATACGAAAAATGAACTTACAGGGTTGTTATTTTAGGCAGCAGTGTTACCTACAAATCCTTATTTGCATAAAAAATGAAGGTAACGTCGTGCAGGATAAATAAAATTTTACTTGATGTACCTAACTGCACCAAAAATGAGTATTTTATTCTAAAAAAACAAATAATTTGAAAAATACAGATAAAATCTGGCAACATCTCAAATGTCAGTTTCTTGCTTTACTTTTATGGTCAATTCTCATATAACTTGTTCCGATGCTGTATCCACTTATTTTTGTGAAAACTAATTCTCGCTCAAGGTTTTTTTTAGTGTAATAAGCATGTAGCATTTCAAGGTAATGGGAACTTAAATTATGACAACCCTAATCTATTAATTTTTTCCTAAAATGCAGGCTTTATGTTGCAAATGTCACATAAGTTACCGGTCACCAACTGCAATATCCTAACATCGATGAATATTTCAACAAAATGACCGTTCAAACAACTAATGTTAGTGCTTGATTAACTAAAAATAGACTTAAGATTGACAAAAAATTATTTTATCCGAAATCGGCAGTAAAGTAGTCAACAATCGTAAATTAAAATAAATCGGCAGTAAAGTTCTACTTTACTGCCGATTTCGAATAAAAGAATTTTTCGTCAATCTTAATTAAGTCTATATTGAGTTAATCAAGCACTAACATTAGTTGTTTCAACAGCCATTTTGTTAAAATATTCATCAATGTTAGGATATTGCAGTTGGTGACCGGTAACTTATGTGACATTTGCAACATAAAGCCTGCATTTTAGGAAAAAATTAATAGATTAGGGTTGTCATAATTTAAGTTCCCATTACCTTAAAATGCTACTTGCTCATTACACTAAAAAAAACCTTGAGCGAGAATTAGTTTTCACAAAAATAAGTGGATACAGCATCGAAACAAGTTATATGAGAATTTACCTTATAGCGCCTGTATTAAACAACTTTACAGAACCTAAATATCGTATAACGCACGCGACAGCGCAGATAAATTGTATAACGTTTTTATAAAGACAAAACCATTTTATAACAAAAACGCCATATTTATTGACCGATCAATTGTTTATAAATCGCCGCCATTGTGTGAATTTTACCAACAAACGTTAAAACTGTCAATTAAAAATGAATTTTCTTGAAAATAATTAATGTAATCTTAAGACTAGTCAATTATAAACTGAACAAATAAAACAATAATATTCTTAAAAAACATGAAACTTTGTCAAATAAAAAATTAATTTTTTTGTTTTAAATAATTTTTAGTAGGTATGTTTGTTAACTGGCGCTTTAATTTTTCGTTAAAAATATATACATATATTGTCAGAAAAGATTGCTCCGCAGGAAGATGTTGTCCTCGATAGCGTAAATCTCAAAGGTTTAATAATTATATTTACATAATAAACAACAAGCACCATTTTGGATCTTAGCCGTTAGACATCCAACATAATTCGCATTATAAAATAGTCTTAGGATAAAAATTTCCCACTCCATTCCTAATTTCTAGAGAAGGAAACAAATTGATGTTCTTATAACGATTCTGTCGCATTATAACATACTTATAAAATGCTTGTTTTAATATTCTATATATATTCGTAAAGTGCAATTAAGCTGCAGAGTAAAACCGCTATAGTATAATCGTATAGCAGTTCCCCAGTATACTGATACTGAGTTTTATAAGGGTTGTGTAGTGTATTTATATAACTGCTAACGAAGTAAACTGTTTTATAAAACGGGGCCCTTTTTGGTTGAGTAAGTGTTGTATAGTAGTTTTTAAACGCATTATACAATTTTAGCGTTTCTATAATATGTGTTGTATAGCAGTTCTAACAACACTTACATAATCAATTTTGTTAGCTGGGTGCCCTAATATTTAATTTAGAAATCGGGCAAAAACAAAACAAAAATTAAATAAAATAATAAATATAAATAAAATAAAGTGATTTATGGGCAGTAGGTGTAGAGGTAGTTTATGGAAAGTTACTTAACTATAACTGACTCTGTAAGTATTATGTTAATTTTTAGAATGTTTGGTTGTTCTTAACAGTTGTTATGTAAATATTTTAAGTGAGTACTTACTGCTAAACTAACGCCCAGGAAAAATATAAATAAATACTTCATTGTCTTATTTTTTGGACAAGTTAAAAGTTCTAATATAATCAGATATATTAAAAATATTTATTTAAAAAACTTTGATTTGTGGTTCACTTGAAGATAAAATAATTATCGCCTTATCTTTAAAATATAGTTTAATGTTAAATTATTTTTTTTAATGATTTTGTTTTGTTTTTAGAATGTATCTAATTAATTTCCCAACATGCTAATACGTTTACCGGAAATTAGGGCGAAGCCAAAAATTTATAGGTTTTATTTGCCACAATATTTACTCTGAAACAAATAGGGGTACCTTTGCCCCCCTTGAAATTTTTTAATATACATGCACATACAGTGTATATCAGCCAAATGGAATAAATTCGATAATACGTAAATGGGGGAGTACTCCAAAAAAACGTTCGGACATGTCGATTGGTATTTTTAGTTGCGCATTTTTGTACAGGGTGTGTCACGTAGCAGTGGCCAATATACCAACTTTCTTATTTCAAATGCAATACCCTGCATGTTATTCAATTTTTGGATTCTTCCATATAGACATATTTTATGTTCAATGTCCTATACCTATCTTCAACTATTTCGGAAATAATAAAAAATTAACATTAAAGAACGATAATTATTTAAAAAGAATGATGATCATGTGTGTTGTAGCGAATTTTATATGTTTTCAGCAAGGTGGAGCACCGCCCCATTACCGAATCAATGTCCGGCAGTACCTCAACCGAATATATTCGGTTGGAAATATATTTCCAAATCGGTGGATAGGGATATACAAATTTTGTATACAAAACTTTCACGGCGGGTATTTTAAACATCTCCTACAGTGTCATTAATTTTTTTGTTACATTATCAAGAGATAAACAGTATTGGGTACTTATTCGTTTTTCAGTGTGTTGTAGCGAATTTCTGTAATGAAATATATTTGATTACAGAAATTATAATTATCGTTCTTTAATGTTAATTTTGTAATATTTCCGAAACAGTTGAAGATAGGTATAAGACATTGTATATAAAATATGTGTACAATTTTCTTAAGAATCCAAACTTTAATTAATATACAGGGTGTTGGAATGAACACGCCTCCATTTATGTATTATCGAATTATTCCATTTGCCGGATACACACGTGTTTGTATACAGGGTGTTTCACCTTCGTAGTCCATTCAAAGTTTGTGGGGAACGGCAAAAGATATATCTCGATATATATCGATTTAAAAATTTTAAAGCGTTTATAGCGGTTTGACCGCAGGTGACATCAACTTTGTTATTTCAAATAGAACACTCTATATAATTTAACATTTTTAAATTCTACATAAAATTATAAGTAAAATGACTAAACCATGTCCTATACCTAAAGTGAATATATTTCTAGTTATTAATTTTTTTGTTAAAATTTGCGCGTCAATCAAAAATAGTCCTTAATTTTGTCGTTATTATGTTTGCGGATATAAAGGTGGAATTTTTGTAATCTTAAAGCATTCTATTTATGTCAATTCTTTAACATATCTCAACAAATTACTTGAGAAAAAACATGGCATGAATTTGAAATTTTAATTAGCCTACAGGCTAATTTGAAAAGTTAATAACTTTTTTCTCAGGTAATTTGTTAATAAATGTTGACATGGAATCTTTTAAGAATGTTTTAAGAATCCAAAAATACCACCCCCATATCCGCAAACCTAATAACAAAAAAGTAATAGGCTGTTTTTGATTTACGCGCATTTGTCAAATTTTAACGAAAAAAATTAATAATTAGAAAACTATTCACTTTAGGTATAGGATATGGTATAGTAATTTTACTAAAAAATGTATGTAAAATTTAATAATGTTAAAATATATGGGGCATTCTATTTGAAATAACAAAGTTGATGTCACTTCCGGTTAAACCGGAGGTGGCTTTTTGTTCTTAAAAGAACCGTATGCCTGACGAGGTTTCGATACAATCTCATGTACCATCTTCAGGTCTTATCTGCTGGGCTGCTGTTGCTGCTCTGCTGCGAGTCTAACTAACAGCAGCCCAGCATATAAAACCTGAAGATGGTACATGAGATTGTACCGAAATGTCGTCGGACATACGGTTCTTTTAAGAACCAAAAACCGACAACACGGAAAACCACCAATATATGTATATAACGCCCGTGGAAACCTAAAGCAGAACATGTGGTCGGTCTTTGAACCAAGCATTTGCTTAACTAGTTAATTTACTTATTTATTGCTGTCTAAAAAAGCGTTTAATAAAATATTTTTATGAAATCTAGTTCTAACCTATAGGTATTTTATGTAAAAATTCAATTTACATGGGACTGATTTAATTTAATCCGAAAGTAACTTTAAAAGACATTAACTTTGTTCGGGGATTTTCTAAGTGAGTTGGTCGTTTAAAACGAAAATTGTTATAGCAATTTTTAATTTATTGAAAGTTTAGTCAGATGGGTTGAATTTAATAACACTCGCTTTAAAGGGATTTATTAACTGATGGGTCGTTGACTAATCGAATTTTCAACGCCAAATTAGCTTTTATAAGTAATTTACCCTTGGTAAATTCGAACCTCCACTGTAATAAATACTTGCTCATGCAGGGTTTTAACTTTAAAGATTACTTTGACGGGTGACTTTTTGTTTTAATTTGTTGTAAAACAATTAAATCAACTGTGTAACAAAAAAATTGAGACTATGAAAAGTAGATACCTACAGTACCTATTATAAAAAAATTAATACGTGTTTTGGTTTCTAAAATAATATATTTTTAATTTTATTGATTTTATATACAACAGTTTTTTTTTTAACACAACACTGAATTCAGTGAAAATGTATTTTTTATTCGCCAAAAGTTTTTAGTTTAAATTTTTTAATTTTGAAAATAATTTTTGACCTATTTAGGAACTTGAATTGACTAATAATATAAATTTGTTTTTAATGTGGTATTCCTATGTTGGTTAAAATTATGGGATTTATAATTTTAAATTTATATAAAATATTATATTATACATTATTAATTAAAAAAATATTTTTTATCAAATTTTGCCACACAGTAAAACAATTGAAACATTTTGTATACAACTATATATATTTATAATTATACAGGGTGCTCCAAGTTTTCTTCTAGGTATCTGTTTTATTTAAATTAGAGTTCCGTACAAATGAGCGGCTCTTAAATCACTTGAAAAAAAAATAAAAACCTGTTAAACCAAAAATCGTTATAACTTTCCTGAGAATTAAAAAAATCCACATTATCATCCAATTTGTGAATTTTTTCGTCAATATAGTAGCGAAGAAATTGGATAAAAATATATCTATATATTTTTCTATATTTATAGATTAATGTATATGTTAACATGTAAAACCCACTTTTTTCAAAATTCCCAGGAATAACAAAGTTATAACAATTTTTGGTTTTAAAAGGTTTTTAGTTTTTTTAACATATTTTGGGAACCGCTATTTTAAAATTTTATTCTAATAGGCTTGTAATTACGCAACTTTTTTCTAATTTAACCGACCTTGTAGCTCTTTAATTAAAAAATACCTATAGAAGTATTTATAATCTTAACTATAAAAAATCCCATAAATAAATTATTTTGACTTTGCTTAAAATTGTATTTCCTAAGCTCCTAATTGTACCTTTTAGGTAAAGCTAAATGTATTGAAATCTCTTTGATGTCCTTGGAAGCGGCATAAGAAGCAAAAATAAAATAACACGGAATTAGCTTGTTTATTGATATTTACTGGAAAAGCAATTTTCACCAAATATTTTTATGCTCTATTAAATTGCCGGATCAAATTAAAATCAATGTTACGGCGTTCTTTACGGGTGACGTAATTTTGGCTTTATTAGAATTTAGGATATAAATAATACGTTCTTTATTGAAATTGTCAGTTTGTTGCTAAATCTTACAAACAAAACAATTAATTATAAATAATAATAAAAGTTAAAATGGTATTATTATAGTTTTAAGAAAATACTTTATATAACATCTAATACTTATGTTATTAGGCTGAGAAGTGAGTCTTTTTGTACTGAGCTCAAGGTTTGAGCGAAGCACAAAAAGACACTTCTCATCCGCACGGCATATTAGATTTTATTGTTAAGGCAACTTAAGTTGTATAAAGATGCGCGTGGACACACCTTGTTGTATTAGTACATGGGCACAAATTAATTAATTTGTGCCCATGTACTAATACAACATGGTATGTCCACGCGCATCTTTATCTTCCGTCTCTCTTTATCCTCTGACGTCATCGAGTGACAAAGGGTGAATAAGTTATTTGGATATTTTTCGTTTATTTTTTGGTGTCTTTTAATATAATAAACAATGGTTTACTAATTTAATAAATATAACGGAAATGCATGAAAAATAGAAATAATCTAATCAGATAGATGAAGCAAAAAAAAACTTTTTAGATGCAAAATGCATTTTAAAATAAGATAACTCAATAAACACATAAAAGAAATGTCCAGTACGTGAAAGCGAAAAATTATAAAGTAAAATAATTAGATTTTTATTTTATATACAGTGTTATATACTTTGGTGATATGTTAAACAAATATTAGAAATATTCCCCAACACCAAAACAAAACACAAAGTACTTTTCGCCAACGATGTTGACATCTTCAGAAGCGAAGTGTAACTAAATCTAAATGCTAAATCCACCATATTTATACTAATTATAAGCTAAGGTTTACTAAACCGTAAACGGACACAGTTTACTAAACCCTGGAGTGTGTATATATGTATACAGTGTTGGCCATAATTTTTGCCCACTTCTTTATGAAATTTTGGTTAAAAATACTTTAACGTATATCTCAGTTTACGTGTTCGAGGGTATTTTTAAAGCCCTTTTATTTAATAATGAAAAAACGTTCAAAAAATAACTTTTAGGGATTTTTTTTTTACGGTATACTAACAAAAATACGGTCTTTAACAGCATATTTTTTATTTACTTAAAAAAAATTACCCTAAAAGTTATATATATATGTATTAATGGTTTTTCGGGATCTGCTCCGTGTTGTCGGTTTTTGGTTCTTAAAAGAACCGTATGTCTGATGACGTTTCGGTAGAATCT